TCAGAGAAACAGGATAAAAGTACACTGCTGGCACTGCATTTACCTGGCACATAAAGAGACTGTCTTCTCTGACATTACAGCCTCAGTTGCCTATTCAAGAGCTGTCCTTTCCCAGTTCAAGAGCATTAGTGGAATGATATCTGATTCTTCTGTTTTTCTTTTGCAGCTTATTGAAGGTGCTTCCTCCGAGCAAAAACACAGTCTGGGCATTACCAGTATGGATTACTATTACTATCTGAGCCTCTCTGGATCCTACAAAGTAGATGACATAAATGACAAATCTGATTTTCAGGAAACTCTGGTGTGTTTTTAAAATAAGGGAGAGAGAAAGAGAGAGTGTGTATTTGTGTGTAAGAACGGGAGTATGTGTGTATCCATCTGTCCAGATATACTTTTTAAGACAAACAGGTTAATCCTTCATATTTACTGAAATGACAGGAAATGTGTGAAGGAAAACCACATGCTGCAAATTCTTGTAGATAAAATCTCACTCATATAATTTTAATTACCCCTTTATTATGAATGAGTATTCTTTCTGGGTAGCACTCTGATAATTCTGCTAAGATAGCTACATTGTAGACAGTATTTTTTTTTGTCAGGGATTTGCAGAAATTTATTTTAGAGGTATAGATTCAATATAAAAGGAGATCAACCAATGAGCAACATGAGAAGAAAGTGCATTATGAAAAATATTAAAATATAGCACAAGAATTAGCTTCCACTGAAAAGTGAAAATTAAAAAAAAAAGAAACCCCTCTACTGTTTATAGTTGCATGGACCAAAGGGAGGAAGATGGACTAGGGGGCCTCTCTCTATGTACAGTGCAGGGTAGGGCGTTAGTGAAGATACTATTACACCTCTCCTGTCGGTGTAGTTAATCCATCACTGTGAGAGATGGTAACTGTGTCAACGGAAGATGCTCTGCTGTTGCCATAGCACTGTCCACACTAGGAACTGGGTCTGTATAACTGCCTTGCTCAGGGATATGGATTTTTGACTGGCCAAAGAGTCCGGAGAGACTGCATCTAGCTCTGATACTGACTTTCTGTATGTGACCTTTGGCAAGTGATGTGGCCACCTCTGCCTCTTCCAATGCAAAACTTGATGTAAGTGCCAAGAACCATCATTACTCCTTGTACCAGCTTATATTGAACATTGGCAAGCATTACAGATTAGGAACCAGATTTGTGTAAGAACCATTCACTGCACTTCTAAAAAACGATTCTGCAGATAATAGTTTTTGTGACTTGCAGCAGTGCACAGCCTAAACCAGCCAAAATGTAACTATTATAGAAGCATGCAGTGTGCATCTTTTGCCATATATAAAGAACTGAGCTAGATCTCATCGTCGTGTATTGATAAAGTTCTCTGGAAAATTTAATGGGATTTGGATGCCTGATTGCTTTAAATTCTTTTGAAAATCCCAGATGTAATTTTTTATTTCAATCAATTATACATAGTTTGTGAAAAATACAGAGTGAACTTGTTAGATACTTGTTAGTAACTTGGTGTCTTTTTATTCCCAGCATGCAATGAATGTGATTGGGATCTTTGCAGAGGAACAGACCTTGGTACTACAGATTGTGGCAGGAGTGCTGCACTTGGGAAATATCAGCTTTAAAGAAGTTGGCAACTATGCTGCTGTGGAGAGTGAAGAGTGTAGGTAGCTCTGGAAACAATTACAGAATTAATGATGATGCAACAGGCTAAGGCCCAGATGTTGCAAGGTGAACTGAGTAGTGAGCTGCTTATCCAAATACACTGCATAATTTCTCATGTTCTGGGCTTGCTAATTCAGTTTCTCTTCCAAAAATTATATGGGCCATAGCCCTTAGTTATACTCCATGCAATCTCATTGACTTAAAGAGAGGTAGAGCAGCAATTCCCTTCAGAGCTGGCCTTTGTAGCCAGAGCATAGATGCTTGTGGACATTGTCCATATTCCCATCCTATCCAGGCATTAAATCAGGGGTCTCAAACTCCCAATCTATAGGACATGCCCAACTGGAGCAATTGCACAATCTAGCCTGGGTCTCCTGGTAGAATGGAGTACCACGGGGACAAGGGGAGTGATGGCAAAAAGGGGCAATGTCAGGAAGGGGTAGATATTGGGAGCCAGTAATGGGCAGACCCTCCCCCCCCACACACACACACAGCCTGCTGGGAGTCCCAGACTTCATTGCACAATCACTCTAGCCAGGGATGGCTCATGGTCCGAGAGTTTGAGACCTCTGCACTAGATAAAAACAACTGCTGTCTTTTGAAAACGTGGATGGTAAAGCAATCCTACCATAGCTTCCTGTCGAACCCTGAACAGGAAATATTAGGAGAACAGGAAATATTAAGAGCTGGATAACCATGTCCTTCCTTGTCATGCTTTGTAACTTGATGCTTTATACAAGAACCTTTTAGGATATTAATTTCACTTCGTTTTTTTTGGTCTGAGCTCAGTGCTTAAATTTTCATCTCTCTTCCACAGAGTGGTTTGCTTATATTCAGATCACTGGTGGAAGCTGTGTACACATTCTAAGGTCTGAAGTAAAGAAACAGCTGAAGACCTATCTTTGGAATGGGGTGCAAGTTCTGTAAAATCCACCTGAGTGTAAAGACTTCAATCATTTATTGGAAAATTTATAGAAGATTTTGAGCCATACATTTCATTTTTATCACATCCCACTAGGTTTATTTCTTCTAATTGCTGCTTAAGATACTTGTAGATTGTCCTGTTTTTAAGGGCTTGTTGTTGTTGTTGTTTTGGTTTAATCTTTAAATCATCATCCATTGGTTTAGTTAAAATACAATCCTAGTTGTTCTTGCAGTTTTGGCTTTCCCTGCTTTCCTCCTGGGAATTAACCAGAGCCGCTTGAAAGAGAAACTGACCAGCAGACAGATGGACAGTAAGTGGGGAGGCAAATCAGAGTCCATTAACGTGACGCTCAATGTGGAACAGGCCTGCTACACCAGAGATGCTCTAGCCAAAGCTCTTCATGCCCGCATCTTTGACTACCTGGTGGAGGTAAGATGAATGTTTCCTGATTATGTCACTAGGGTTAAATGTTGAAGGAGATAAATATCGCATGTGGACTTTCCCCACAGTTCTCTGCTTTTTGGCCATTGTTTCCTTCCCCCATTTGAACTACATTTCCCCAAGCTTTAAACAGCTTTTCTAACTTATTGCTAACCCACTGTTGTACTGCCCTCTCAGTGCTCTCTTCCGCTTACATACAAGAATCCCCCCTCTCGCTATTTTAAAGCAGGTATGCTGAGGACAGAAGAAAGGAATGTAGAAGGGCTCTTCCAAGCATTTTTTCAAAAAATTTAAGTGGCTGATTAGTGTGCCATCTCTAGCACGCTTAGCATTATGCCTCTTCTCAGTCTCCAGTCACTGCTGCCCATGTGGTGTACCACCTTTTCCTAGCTCATTGCCAAAATATGGCTCAAGCTTTCAGGGCCCTAATGTGATCTAGATTGGGGGCACTCTCAGGAAGGAAGAACAGTCAGGTAATAAAATTCCCAGGAAAAATTATGACAACCTCCCTTCGTTCTCCCATTCTTGCTGCTTTCCAGATGTCATTCTACTCCCTCTCCCTACCTCACGTGCGAGGTAGTCTCTTTTCAGAATGAATCTCTAGGCTGAAATGGGAAGGGAGAAACATCAGATATTGGACAACAAACTGGGCTTGCTGGAGCAAAGGTTTGTTCCAGGGTGACATTCCTATTTTCTTATAACTGCCTCACCATGGCAGCTTCCACTGCCTGTAGCAGGTTTCACTGCTGCCAGCATCTAAAAAAAGCAAAATGAGGAAAACCAGAAATTTTATTTTAAAAGTAAATGGGAAGAATGAGGTTGCATATCAGCAGAACCCTTATTGAGCTGTTATAAAAGGTCCTTCAATTTCTTGTTTGCTTGTTTTATTTCTCTTTTTAACTGGTCCAGTTACTCTTTCTAAGGAAAAAAGTTTTGTATCTCTGAAGGCTTGCTTGTTTGGATAATAATAGAATAGAATAGACATTAGCTAGCTGACAGACTTTATCTTTTTAAATAAAGTCAAATACACTTGACAGGAGGAAAGGGAATTTCATGCTACCTTGCGTACAAAGTGGTTATTTTTTTACAACCTAATTTTTTTCAGTTCAAAGTTGCTTAAGGGTTTAAACTGCAGTTTGTTTTAGGTAAACATGTTTTCTCTGTTTTCTATTAGTCTATCAATAAGGCTATGGAGAAAGACTATGAAGAGTATAACATTGGTGTCTTGGATATTTATGGCTTTGAAATATTCCAGGTAAGACTGTGCAAAATTCAAGAGTTTTTACATTTAAATTGATCTGATCGGGAGAGAAGGCTGGTTTTTTAACTGTTGAGAAGAAAGGAAAATGTCAGCTTCCTGGGCATTTATACAACTACAGTGCTCAGTGGTAATAACTTACGTAATAAAAATGAAGTACTGAAAACAACTTCAGAGAATCTAGGTCACTAACCTTTACACTGAGATTCTGACAATACACAGAATAGCTGTAAAATCAGCTTCCAATGCATCATTTAAAATTTTCATTAAAATCTCTCCTCAAGTTGCTTGTTATAAAAAAATCAAAAGCTGTTGAATGTGGCGCATGAGTCTAACCTTGTTCATTTTTTTCTTTATTATAGAAAAATGGTTTTGAACAGTTCTGCATCAACTTTGTTAATGAAAAACTACAGCAGATTTTTATTGAACTAACATTGAAGGCAGAACAGGTAACTACACATTGATAATTTCTGAGTTAAAAATTCACAGTGCTAGCTGTGTTTGGTGCTAGACTGAGGTTTCAGCTAGTGACTATAACATTTCCCTTTTTTATAAAGGAAGACAAAAAAAATCATTTCAGTTGGCTAGTCTTGAAAATGTAAATAGCGTCAGTTACTGACACATTTATCTTCCAGTAAAATTATATAAAGGTGAGTTTCTTATACAGTGTATTTATGCAGCCATATGACTTTCTGACCATTTGTGCACTGTGCGCAGATTCAGTGAATTGAAGTGGAAAATTGCAGCTTCCATCCCTCCACTTTATTTCACAAAGCACTAAAAGTTAAACACACCTCAAAGAGATTAATTTGCCTCAGAATTCCACTGTGTTCACTTAGGACACCATTCCATGAATCCACCACATGATTCCATAGAAATTATCCAGAAGGAATTATTGTCTTTTGACAAGATCACCTAAAAGAAGCTCCCACTCATCTTTATAGACAGATCATTTAATATGCATTTGAATGTACGTGAGCTACCCTAAATCCACTACTAAACCTACAAGGTGAATGAATATTTGGGTCTTTCTGTCTCACAGGAAGAATATGTGCAAGAAGGAATTAGGTGGACACCCATAGATTATTTCAACAACAAAATAGTATGTGACCTCATTGAGAACAAAGTGGTAAGTTTTTGTCACAAATATAAATGTATGAAATTGAGACATTTTCACCAAACTAATTGTTAGGACTCTGGCCCAGGGTTGGACAGCAAGAGGATCACCCCAATCCCATGTAGGTGGCATGTACAGGCAGTCCCCGGGTTACATGGATCCGACTTACATCGGATCCCTACTTACAAACGGGGTGAGGCAACCCCGCACTAGCTGCTTCCCCCCAGCAGACCAGGGAGATGCGAAACTAGCGCCCCCTCCCCAGCAGACCAGGGAGACGCAGAGCGGCTTTTCTCAGCAGACACCTCAGCTTGAGAATAAAGGACTGAGGGAAGTGAGGTGTGGGAGAATAAAACTGAGCTCTGGAGAAATGTTTGGCTAGAGTTTCCCCTACAATATGTACCAGTTCCGACTTACATACAAATTCAACTTAAGAACAAACCTACAGTCCCTATCTTGTACGTAACCCGGGGACTGCCTGTATTAGAAATAGACTGAAAGCAGAACCCATACTAGTGCTGGTGAAAAGGAAAAAAACGAACCTATTTCTGCTGGAAAATTGAGTTAATCAAAATCTAAGTTTCCCATGAACTCCAAACTACACTGAGAAGGCTCAGTCACAGGGTGAGACTACACTGAATCATGGGAAGCTGGGTCCATAGTGGAGAATGGGACATGAGGGATCCAGAACTACACCTGCCATGAAGCACTGTGGCAGCTCCAGTAAAACAGATTGATGTTGACCCAAAACAAGGAGTTTTAATGTTTCCAGGTAGAATTTTTTTCAGAACTTTTTCTTCCCATGAAAACTTTTACTGTTCAGACTTATCATCCTGATTTGGGATCATTTTTGTTCGAGTAGCTTTACTATTTACCCACACACAAAATCCCAAACTTTGGACTTAGTTCCAAAGGAAATGGTGAACCATGTGCATAGCATTCCCAATGTTGCCTTTCTTATCTGCATGCAAAGAGACACATAGATAGGATAATGTTATGTATGACATACTACAGTTCTACAGATTTAACTCACGTTTGTTAAATTGCAGGAATAGAGATTAATAATAATTATCTGAAATGTAGGTTAGTTTTTGGTGGTAGGAAAAGAAAATTGTCTAAATATTTGTGATAACTTTAAGCTAAAAGAAATAGATTTTCTGGACCCATTCACTTTTCTTCCTATCTTTAGGGCTATCTAATCTAGTCAATCCTGGGACTTGCAGCTCTTCCTTATTGTTGCTAATGGATAAATTAATCCCCAATATAACTCCATTGGCTGTGGGGAAATTACTTCTGAAATTAATTTGCTGTAGCGTTTTCCGCTGATATTAAGACATTTCTCTTTTCTGGAAAGACCCTGATACCATATCACATTTCTTTTCTTTTCTTCCCCTACTTTCCCATATGCTTTTGCCCATCAGAATCCCCCTGGAATTATGAGCATTCTGGATGATGTGTGCGCCACAATGCATGCAGTGGGAGAGGGAGCTGACCAGACGCTGCTCCAGAAGCTTCAGATGCAGATTGGGACCCATGAACATTTCAACAGCTGGAACCAGGGATTTATCATCCACCATTATGCAGGAAAGGTGCTACAGAAAATCCTTTTTTAAAAGAAAAAAACCCTATTTTAAATGTTGTTTAATTTCTTTTAAAATAAAGGACAGACACCAAATAGAGGGGAAATAGTTATAATCCTTGATTAAAACTAAATGATCAGTTGTAGAACTTTATCCAATTTAGAGAATATGACCCTCCTCTGAATGCCATTAGTTTTCCACTGATATAACTCCATTGGCTTCAAAGGAGTTACCCTTGTTTTACTCATGGTAAGTGAGAGGAGAGTCAGGCCCTTTTTCTCAAGGGGCTGGTCTACATGAAAAGCTTTTGCCAGGATTGTAATGTCTGAGGATTGTGGATTTTTTAATGGCGTTTTTTTATATAGGAAAAACTGTAGTGAAGCTGCAATTGTACTTGCAAAATAGGGCTTTTGCCCATATTGCTTATTTCATTTGGAAAAATCAAATTATTATGGCAGAAATACTCATTTTCTGCTATAAAATCCATCCACTAGTAAAGTTTTTTTCAAAACTGAAATAAAGAAACTTAGTGAACTTGAAATCTAGTCAGTTTTAAAAAAATAAAAGCAGTTTTGGGTATTGTATCTGTCCCCAAGTCTCTGCCAGTTTTTGTGGTTTTTACAAATGACATTATCTATGACAGTGAGAGATACTCACTGAAACCAAAGGGGAAGTGATTTACACAGGAGAAAAAGTGAAACTGACTGCATACAAAGTGCTGTCAAATGTACTACCTCCCTCTGTTCCATCAGTTATATTAATTTTAAACCTTGGTTGTCACAACAATAGTAAAACATTTTCAGAAAGATGGTGTCCCCTTTAAATTTGGAATAAATATGCAGGTATTCTGTTTATTATTTTGTATTAAGTCCTACTATATTTCTCCTATTTGTTCATAATATTTTTAATATTTCAGTATTTATTGATCATATTCAATTACTAGAAACCCTGATTTTACTGAACATTTGTTTTTTCCTATATGAGATTAAATTTCTTTCCATGCTGTTGCTGGTATGCCAGCTGTATGATATTATTTTGCAAATTCTAAATACATACCTGATATCAGCTATCTTGCATGAAAAATTCATGAGACAAATTATACACAGGGATTTATTGGTTGCCAAGGAATCAGAAAAACAGAAAAATCATGGGGGTTTTAAAATATTGTTTAATTATCAGGTTCTTTACTAAACATCTATGTTTTATTTCCTCCTGGACCCAGGTATCCTATGATATGGATGGATTCTGTGAGAGGAATCGGGACGTTCTTTTCATGGACTTGATTGAACTCATGCAGAGCAGTGAGCTGTATGTAAACAAAACTGGTTTAATATATACACTTTTGGAAACTAGTATGTTGGTTCAGGTAGATGCCAGGATCCTTATTCTCCAGTGTCTTGTAGCATGACTAGTCATTTGCACTTGTGCAAAGTGGGTATAAAACAGGGCCAGTCGGAAAATGGAGTATTTTGTAGCCAGTTTGCACTCACTTTGCACAGATGTGAATGATTATACAATGTGCAAGATGCAGTGGGGATCAGGCCAATGGTAAACTAAATATCAGTGGGAAGATCAGATTTTAGTCCTGAATAAAGGCATCAGGGTTCTAGTCCAGTGACTTTCACTGATAAAGCTGTCGGAAAATGTTGATCTTAGATAGATATGGCCATGTTCACAAATTCCTGTAAATAATCATGCATATTCTACTAAACCACAAGTTTCTACCATGTATCCCTTGATATTCTTGAGTGTGCCCAGTACATGGCTGTCCTGTCCTCATACACCCAGTACATCTTGCTAATTCTTTTCCAGACCTTTTATAAAGGCTCTGTTTCCTGAAAACCTTCAAGCAGACAAGAAGGGCCGCCCAACCACTGCTGGCAGTAAAATTAAGGTATGTTCAGTTTATGTCTCTTGCGTATAACTGGGAGATAAGGCAGAACTTTTTTTTCTTGGAGTTGGTATTATTTTTATCTTTGAAGACTTTTTTTAATACTAACAGATCAGCTGAAGGGGGTCTGATGCCCTAGCCTAGATAGAGGGACCAAAAAAAAAAAAAAGGTTCCCATCTGTGGCTCCTATCAAATAGTTATTGAACATTTTCTATGTGTGTAACATCTGTTTTAACTGAATTGATAAGTTAGACCTTGTGACCTCTCCGTGCTTAATATTTGCATAGCTTTTGAAAAATACATTAGCTGCATGAGTGGAAAATATTTTATTATGCTTATTTAATAAATGTATCTGGTAAAAACAAGTCTGGCTACACTATCAAAAATAAGAAATGTGCCTGGGCTTCAAAGTTAACAGGCCAAATTCCTTAAGTGGTAAATTGTTACGGCTTTATTGACATCAATGGAGGTACACCATTTTATACCGGCCACGCATCAGGATCAGAGTGTTCTTTTGAAAGATGAATACTGTACTGCATTTAGAAAATATATGCATTGTAACCATTTTGGAATAAAGTGAAAAGTCAATCCATTTTATTTCATTAAAAGTAAAAAAAACCAACAAACTGCACAACAAGCAAGGCAGTAACTTCAAATTAGCAATAGCAAATTTTCTAAGTTTTGTATGGATAAAAAAGGAGTGCTGGAATTTCATATACACACACATACACACTATATACAAAGTTATTTTACAGTCATGCCAGCTTTGTAATTTTCCTTATAACCAAAACAGGAGTTTTGGACAGTGAAAAACACTTGTTTTCATTAAATACAGGCAGTCCCCAGGTTACATCAATCCGACTTACGTCGGATCCCTAGTTACAAACGGGGGGGGGGCGGGCGCAGCTAGTGCAGGGTGCCTCCTGCACTGTTGCTGCCTCCGGCGGCGCGGGGGGCACTTCCCCCCGGCAGACCAGGGAGAAGCGGAGCTAGCGCTCCCTCTCCCCCCCTCAGGGAGACGCGGAGCGGCTTTTCTCGCCGTGGAGGACGCGGGACTGCTGGGGGGAACAAGACACCAGCCAAAAGGGGGCACTCCAGAGCGGAAAAATAAATTTCCTAGGGAACAGTAGGAACAGCAGGCAGTGAGACCCATTGTGTTACAGTCACCACCTTGGGAGCAACAGCTTTCCCTCTTCAGCACTACAGCTGCAAGTATCTTGTTAGCGTCACGTGAAATTTACAAGTCCCTTCCAGCCTGGCAGAGGTGAAGCTGAAAAATTACCCAGTGGTGTGGGTGGGCAAGAATGGGGAGGAGCAGGACAGAAGGGAAGAGGGGATAAGCCCCAGCCCCACACCCTGGCTGGAGCGGAGCAGGGTAATGGTTGCAAAGTGGGTGAGTGGACAATGAGGACAATGTGCTCTCCAATGACTATTGATTACACTTAATACCCATTTCACTGAACCATCTGTAGCAAATTCTATTTGGAACAGTAATATGCCATTGAATAAACTTTTTTTAGTTATAAAAAACAAAGATTCTGACTATTAAATGAATAACTGGGATCTTTCAGGTACCCCAATAGGAAGATTTGGATATAGTATGAAACACTGAAACTTATGATCAATTTTTAATTAAAATATCAACCAAAAAAACCTTCATATCAAAACAGTATGTGTTTTTCTTAGAATAAGGAAGTTGTATGAGAATCAGGGTCTTTTCCACCTAACTCCAGCTCCCCGTCCCCCCCCAAAATATGTACCAGTTCCGACTTACATACAAATTCAACTTAAGAACAAACCTACAGTCCCTATCTTGTACGTAACCCGGGGACTGCCTGTACATACATACCCACACATGCATGTATATTGTATTTGGGAAATATATTTTCCCCCAATTACATATATATAATTTTTTCCCAAATACATAATGTAATATGGGTGGATGGGTGTATTTAATGAAAAAAATAGTTCACTGTTTTTCTTTGTTTTTCTTCTATTTTGATGAAGAAGAAAATTACAAAGCTGGCACAGGTGTACAGTACTTTTGTTTCAACCGCTACAACATTATATTTTCTTTTGTTGACCCAGCGCAGCGTAGATCCTGCTACTAATGTAACAAATTAGATCGACTTCTCCCCATAATATAGACCTGCTGAGTTTCATTATAGTGGAAGCTGGTGGAATTTTTCAGTGGATATAAAGTTAGTCTTGTTGTATTAAGTTGTGCATTCAAGGTGTACGTATGCCTCTATTACAGTGGGTATAGTTGACAAATCAATAAGATGGAAGTTTCCTTTTTTTAATGGAGCAAAATTGAATTACATAAAACAAGAGCAAGAAATAGATAAATGTCTACAATGTAAAAGTAACTGATAGCTGGCCTTCAATTTTTGAGGTTTTTAATTAAAACGCCTTGTAAATGGTAACAGTGGCTACTTACTGATGCATGCTGCATATTATTCGATGTTTCTTTAGTGGTCAGTGGAGCAGTAGATGACTGACACTTGGAAGAAATGTCCATATAACTTACCTGAATGAGCTCATACCTAAATTTTGTTCCTCGTTTCACAGAAACAAGCAAATGATCTTGTTGGTACCCTGATGAAATGTACACCTCACTATATCCGCTGCATCAAGCCCAATGAAACCAAGAAGCCTCGAGATTGGGAGGAGAGCAGGTATGAGTTAGCAAATATGGGTGTGCAAAACCAAAGTAATAATCCAAACCAGCAGAAACTGTGCATGCCAACAAATAGAACTGGGTACTCTAGACACAGTACTCAAGAAAATCCTTCAGAAATAAGACCTGGTTTATACCAACTTACTCTATGGCCTCTACTAAACTCTGAGGAAAACAGTAGTTTTGTTTGATTTAGCATGAGCCATTACTATGGTTAATCTTAGTCTTTACCTAGCCAATTATATCATGATTTACAGAACGTATTTAAATAACCCAGTAATTAAGGGTTAAATTTCCAGAATAATACAATAGGATTGACACTTCCAAATCCTGTTATACACATATGGGATGTAGCTTGTAGCTTTTGCTTGTTGCTTTGAAAAACAGCTTTTAGTAGGTAGTTAAAAACCAGCGCAATGTTTACTGTCATTTTTATTAATTAAAATTTGAATTTAATATATAAGAATGTGCCATAAAAATAAAGTATGAAGACATTTTGACTTCTCTCCTTTGATTTAAATTTTTATTAGCTAGCAGTCTGAGCAGAAGTCACTCCGGATATGTCTCCACTGCAATAAAAGGCTTGTGGCACAGTCATAACTGCCTGGGTCAACAGGCACAGGCTACAGGACTATAAAATTGCAGCCTAGACATTGGGCTCAGGATCTGAGCCCTCATTTTCCAAGAATGTATGTTGTTTTGTCATTGCTGAGGTAATTGGCAATGAAATATAGGTAAATATAATACAACACTCTGTCTGATAACATCCCCAGAAGTAAATTGACATCATCTAGCCATATAACTATGAGCACTTTTCCCTAGTTTTTAAAAAGAAATGGTCTCTCATTCATTACACTGAATTTTTTTTATTTTTATATTCTATTCAAAACACCCAGAAATTCTTCATAGTTGTTAGTGATGTTCCCAAGGAAAGGCACATCTTCTCATATACATATCTCCAAGCAAAACTCTAGTCTGCAGTTTGTTTATGTTGTGAGGATTCATGGAACTGACCAAAGGAATTTTTTTTGTTTTGCTGTTTTCCTTACATAGTCGTGTGATCTCCCTGCTGTGGAAAAGTTGAGTGAGACAACATCTAACTGGGTTGAAAGAACCACAGTAGTATTTTGCTGTACAATGTTTTAGCTTTTGAATGGAGTATCTTCTTCGGGTTATTTAGTCTCATGCACCACACAATGCATACACCTATTAGAAAAATGGTTGTGGCTGCATAGCTGATCCATTAGCATGTTACTGGATTTCAAAATTATTGTCTTGCTAAAGAAAGAACTTTGTCCAGGGAAGTCTGTGTTACCTTGTGCTGTCCAAACCCATGATACTCCTGGTTTGTACTTCAATCAAATAGTTTCTGAAATTGCATCACTCTTTTTAAGATTAAGTTTTATATCAAATCTAAGCTTTAGCAGGATTAGTTGCTTTATTTCAAAATGTGGGGAGTGTTTTTTGCTTCAATTCAGATGCAGCTGTTTGGCCTAAAATTCAAAATTTCTGTATTAGCAGAATTCCTAGACTCTGATCCAGCTTGAAGTTGGTACCTAAAGAGAAATTTTTAAGAATGGCTTTTTTTTTTCCAGAAGAAAAAAGGACAAAAAAAAATGTTTCAGAAATGTGTTGCTAGACATTGGTATTGGCAGAGTAGTAAGAAAAGGGGGGTTGTAATGTTGTTCCACTGCATTATTCCAGATGTTAACAGGAGGGAAAGCTATAAACAGGAAAGTGTATTTTTCACCATCATCTCTCTACTGTTACTGCACCAGAAGCGTACAAAACCTACCTTGGTTCTTTGAATACTGCAAGATGATATATGCAGCATTTTTCCTGTCAATTTGAAGTCCAAAAAGCAACGTATATTGCTTAATTTTTGTAAAGTTTCATTAAAAATAAGAAGTAACCAGAGGGTTTGTCATTGACAACGTGGGATTTTAAAAATGAAAAATTATCCTTCTTTATACTGTGAGTCATGTAAAAGGAATGTCTTGATTTAAAAAAAAAATCAACGGGCAAAACATCCTGTACTTTAGAGGCTTGGAATGAAGCAATGAAGAAACAACTGAGAGGAGTTTTTAATTTGTGCCTGGACTGAGCCTCGTGACTTTTAGTCTTAGCTTTTCATAGCCCAGAAACCTATGAGCTTGTTATATTTATTACTTACGGTTCTAAAAAAATTTGAGCACAAGCCCCTCTTTCTTTACATATTAAACACTAATTTAGAGGTACCAGATTTTGAAATAGTTCTTTGTAAAGAATGGAGAGATGGCAAGCAAAAGATTTTTTTAAAATTATACACAATTTAAAGACGGAGTTGTGATTTGTTAGATTCACAATAAAAACTTCAGCAGTCCTGTTATTGCTTGTTGCTATTGAGATTTGGACCTTTAAAAAATTCAGTCATTTTAATATACATACCGTCCAGCTCTCCAGTGTGAATTACAAACATTCAGGAATTTAAGGAAATGCAAAGCAGTAAAGCATAACTCATACAACAGTTCATTGAAAAATAGTCCCTCATTCTGCTTTCATGTCTAAGCTTTAAAAAGTGGCCTAGCAGGATATATACTTTTTAAATAAAAATTAGAAAAATATCAGATATGCTCCCAAGGTCCAGAAAGGGAGAATGAAGTCCCAAAGAAGCCTTGTCTTTAATGTTTCTCCCTCTTTGAGATTTAAGATGAAATCCTCAGCTCCTGTGCAGAACTGAAGTAAAAGGGCTTTTCACAGAGAAACTATAGAGCTGTGAGAGGAATGGAATCTTCCCCTTCAGCCCATACACAAGATACAGAGCACCTCCACATCCTGCCTATAGCTGTTAGTTCAGCCTGTGGGACTGGTACCAGCCCACAGGGCTTGTGACCATTAGAACTATGTAGTGTGCAGATTGCTAAGCATGCTCCTGCCACAAATCCCTTGGTAATATGACAGACATAGGACCCATAGTATTCAGAGACACACTGTCCAGCCTCTGCTTTCCAGTCCCTCTTACTCTAAAAGGTGGTATTTTGGATTATTGGCATCAAACTTGGCCCCTTCTCACACAGTGTTGAGCCTGAATAGCCAAAAATAAGATGTCTATTTTTGATCTATGTAAAGAGAAGGTGAAAATTAATAATGTACTGTAAAAGAAAACAAGTTAATCTCTCATTCCATCTTCCAATGTCATCTCAGTATTTGGAGCATTTGTGCAGATCAGCATTTACTTGGCTTTTTGTGTAGCCAAGTTTTAAAGCCAAGAACTGTGGACTAATCAAATCCAGAATTATATCTTAGAATTTTAATTTAAACAGAAGGGAAAAAAGAATGCCAAAATAAAATTGGAAAGTTAAAGTTCTGGTTAAAGGACCTCTACATGAGAATAGGCTTAATCAAGTGCTCATGTTTCCCTAAACATTAATTTATAATGAGATAAATTTACAAGGAAGAGGAACAGAATAGATATAATAACTCTATCCCTGTCTCGCTTGCATCCACATGTTCATCCCACCATGTAGTGACATACAGTTTGAATATTATTCTTCCTGTACTCAGTGTGAGTGAATGCAACGCACACACATAGGTATGCAGTTCAGAATAGTGACTTTAAACAAAATATAAAATTGTAACAGACTGAAAAGAAAAGGATTATAAATCTCACTGTATTTTTCCCCACAGGGTAAAGCATCAAGTGGAATACCTAGGCCTGAAAGAAAATATTCGAGTAAGGAGAGCAGGCTATGCCTACAGACGGGTATTCAAAAAGTTTTTGCAGAGGTATAGTATTATAGATAGTTTCAGTACTACTGTACAGTAGTTTGCTAGAGAGATGGGGAAATGCTACTAGTTCTCTCCCATTAGCTTTTACTGTGCTGTATGCTGTTTATATAGAAATTTAAAAAAACAAAGGCTTTTAAAACCAACTGTTTGCCAGTGAGAATTATCATGTTCTTCTCTTAACCTACCTAAAGTATCTATTCTTACTGTAATGCTATGGACCCCTTAGTGGTCAGAATTAAAGTCTCTAGAAAATTAGGAAAGTATTCAGTAGAGTATGCTCCAGTTTATGAAACCCACACTTCTTTGAGTTCCCTATTGTGGGACTAGCACTGTATTTGTAGATTATTGTGTATCTCTTTGCTGGCCGAGACACTCTTAAATGAAAGTAATTTCAACCAAATAATAATATGTATTCCAGTCTTTATTGGAATAATTGACCCTGGATAGCTGTGCATCAAACAGACATCTTATGGTAGATCAGCAAGCTGGTACTTAAAAAAAACCAACTTTCCTCTTGTATTTGAGAATCTATGCTTTAATTATATATATATATATATATATTGCATATATTGCAAAAGTTATTATTACAAAGGATGAGATAAGAAGATCACCCAACACCTCCCTCCGTGTCCCTCACAAAGAAAGAAACAGAATAACTTAAGATAGTGGATAGATCTAAAATAATAAGGCATGGACATCTGATTTTAATTCCTCATCATGAAAGCCTCCACCTGGAAGAACCATTCAATCTCAATACCATACTCTTGTGTTAAGCCAGATGTGCTGGGATCAAGAAAAGCTAAGGAATGACACACCAAGATAGAAAACATTGCTTCCTTTTTTGGAAGCAACAATCTTAGGACACGTCATACTTACTGGTGGATAGACGCTCTGGAGGTCAATCTGGTGTTTGATTTATGGGTTTGTACTGCCGTCGGCCTGCTGCACTGTGAGCGCCACCACACCTACATATTCTACATAGCTGCAGTTGGGTATCTTAAGCCAACCTTTCAGGTCCAGTGCAGACCTGACCTTAGTGATGGGGCACTTGGCATGAAGAAGAGTCTTGATTAGAAACCTCATTTTTTTTAGCATGTCCCCCTGTTTGGTAATATAGCTGCAGAGAAGCCAGTAGAGTATTTCCAGGAATTAATTTGTTCCCTTCTCTGGGATAATTGATTGTGGAACAGTTATTCACATGATTTATTCTCCTTTCAGTAAAATATGAATGTAATGTGTGAGCCAACCTCAGAATGTTATGCTAAAGAAATACAGGTTGGAGAATTAAGCATTTTGTTTGGCAGATAGGATAAGTAACTAATACTACATGTTAAAGCTAGTCTCAGCCAGATAATAGCTGAACATTGACCACATATTGGGGCCACGCAGATCCAAAAGTTTCTCAGAATGAGAGATCTGTATAGTGAGTCACACAACACTTAGAAAAGAAGAAAAATAGAGTTCTTCCCTTAAAGGCAGAGATCCACATCATCCATGAAACCCTCTGCCGTAGGATTTATTTCTTTGTGTCAGTACCATTTGGTAAAGTGTAACTTCTTGTTATGAGTAAAACTCTTCCTGCACCCTTTCCATTCACAGTTACCTAACATCCAGAACAAGCTCTGTTCTGACAACATGAGTCAGTGTGAGTAAAATGGGCTGAGGCATGGGATGTACAGGAAATGCATGTTTGTGCAGTTGTTTTCATTGGGAGCGCCTTGGCAGCTCTGTGTAAGTGGAGATTTCTGGGCTGAATGGACTTTTGTGTCTGCAATTTATATTTGCATGCAAAAAGCCAAAGTCACTGAAAAGGCCTATGTGTTTTAAAGCATAACCAATCTGAGACTTAAACCCCATATTTAGACATATGACCTAAGTGCTTAGTGTGTATTTATAATTTTTTTTTTTTTGGTAGTCATGATTTGGCATTTTTTCAAAGGCATTTTAATCACAGGCTTAGCGCTTGTGCCTCAGTCACTCTGCCATCTCATATTGCATGAGCTCGAAAAGCCCAGATAGAGGCATATTAATACTACTAATAGAAATGAACAGCATTATCAAATACACAGAGAGATGTTTGAGAGGAGTGCTATACCACATGGCAGAGCACAAATACCACCATATATTATTATATATTATATAATAATTTAGCTGTCCTGAAACTTAGATACTCCACAGCATGCAGTGTGTTGGAGCGATCGTGGTGTATTTAGTAACTGTGAGGAAAAAAAAGTTTCTAAGTATTTTTATAGCTTTATAATAATATTTTATTCTCTGATTTCCACGTCTGTATCTCCTCCCAAAAATGGCTAGAATTTGTGATTTGGAACATGTATAAAGTCAAATTCAGAGGGAATATGCAAGATAATATAACTTAACCTTTCTTAAACTGACTTAGAGTCCCCATTAAGATTCCCTAGATCTACTTAAACCCATTGTACTGATGAGTTTATGTGCTGACCAGCCAGAAGAAATTGTAATTGAGTAGGAATCTCTTTCATTAACAGTTCTTCTTGCTCCTCCACATAAATTATACTAACTTTAGACTCCCTGCTGCATCAGTATGAGTTTACCTAGGTCTAAGATAATTTTAGAGGGCCCTACTGCTGTCCATGTTACACCATCTTGCATATTACTTCAGCCTTTGAACTTTAACATGTATAAATAGATTTGGTCAAGAGAGTCATTACAGATGTAATTCCTCTTGTTAATTACTGAATTGTTCACAAATTCTCCCTAGTACATTTGCTGTTCATGAGTTTTTGTGGAAGTTTGGACAAGTTATTTGCATACTTTGGGTTGTTCACAGTCTGTTGCCTGTCACTGTTATTTGTGTTGTATGGTTTGTCATATACATCGCATGGCATATGATCCCCAATTGGGAAATGTTTTAGACAGAAGAACAATGAAAAATGAACTTTCCCACTGTTAATTTTCTAATAAATAACTTGTTTCAGGGTCTGGAAACATTGTCACTAACACCCAGGAGCTGCCTCAGTTCTCAAGAATAGAAGGAGCTCAGAAATCATAGTGAACCAAACAACACTTTATCACTGATTTTCTTCCCCCACTATTCAAATAGTTCCACTAATAAACATGATTTACACTGTACCCCAGGATGCGTGGCAGGGCTCAGGAAAACAAAGTGTGATGAGATTGTCTAAAATGGAGATGAATATAAGATTCATTTTGTGAGGCAGATTTCTGCAGCTCTGTTTTCAGTCTAGTTCATAAAGCAGCTCAGAGTTCTGCAAAAATTACTTATCCCCAGGCACACTGAGGCATATAAAACCTAGCCTATTGGTGGGCAGTGAAACAAGAAAGCATTGTAACCAGTTTTCCCTCTAATTTTTTTCTATTTATGGGTGGATTGAATTTTGGTGTGTGCACCAATATTGAGATTATGTGCCACCAACACAAACAAAAAACCTAGATGTATATTTTTAAAGTTCATAGTTATGGAAAATAATATTAAAACAATGCATAATTAACAAGATCACTGCTTAAGTATTTAATATAAATCAAATAAAAAAAATTAACAGTATGCTTGGAATACAAGTATTTTATCATTTATTCTAACAACTAAAGATAATAAATACACCAAAATGTGGTATCTTCAAAACAGCTACATAAAGAAAGGCATGGTGTGGCAGGGTCAGGCCAGAGAGCTGCTGCAGAGAAGGGAAAAAGCAGCCTAAAAGGGAAAAACCCTGTGAGAAGAAGCAGAGAACTGCAGCCCAATTAGATGCAGCTGGGAGGGAGCAGGCTCAGGCAAATTGGGGCCAGCTGACTTCTCTGCTGTCTGTCTGAGGGCCTTTAAAAGCCTCAGCAGTTGGAAGCTGAGGGGGTGAGAAGACTGAAGGGAAGTTGTACAGAGAAAGAGGTTTGAGAGAACAATCCTCAAAAGCATTAAGTGAAGACCCCAAACTTGGGGGGTAAGAGGAGGAGGCCTACCCAGTGGTGGCTTGGGGAAGAGGGGCCCTTGCCACAATGGCCATTAAGTGAAAGCATAAAAATATGCATCAGAGACCCAGTTTAATAACCTACTCCTCCTATCATAGACAGACTACTAAATCTTCAAGGAAAGCTTCTCTCAAAAAATGAAGCATTTGCTAAAACACTGCCATGCCATCAACTTTTGCAGTTCACAAAACCATTCTTGTTGCATGCATAGCTCAGTTTTAAGATGCTAAACAAATCTGTGAAACATCTAGAAATAATCATTCCCTCGTCACAAATATTAATACAAAATTTCATTCCACTCAGGCATACACAATTTCTAAGGCATATTAATTCAATTAATACTTCACGCACAGAAAACAGTAAAAATAAATAATAAAGGAACACAGAGCAAACAAAACTGTAATCAAACAAATGACAGCACTGAAATACAAGGGAACATAAAACAAGTAGTTAGTTATGTGTATTTTAAATGAGCATTTAGGACCCACAAACTGTGCAAATGCAATAGAGCTCCGTAGAAAAAAGAAAATGTTTTCCTGGTTTCGCACTGTGTTTCACCAACTTAAGAAAACAGAGTAGGCTCATTAAATTTTGACACACCTTAAGGAAATGGAGCACATGGCTTTGGAGTTTGCATCCCTGCTTCAAAGAGCTTACAGATAAAGTCTTCATTCTACAAGTATAACACTAAATCTAGTGCTTGTTACTTATGAGTCACTGAAGTACTCTGAGGAGCCAGAACTACACTAAATACCAAAGATCTGCCTTAATGGTTTTCAATACCTGCCCCCAAACATGTTCTAAAACCTAATGGAGAATCACTTGTCTAGAAACCAAGCAATTTCTATTAAGTTTTAGAAATTGTTGGGAAAGAGGCATCTCTCCTGGACAATGCCACTGTAGCCCCTGACCGGGGGTTCAGATAATGACAGGTTAAAAATACGAGAGTTTGGAGTCCTTAAAAAAAACCCTACAGTTATTGGAGTTATTCTCCATCCAGAACTTGTCTCTTTCCTTCCATCTCCCACAGCCCAGCTGAGGCTCAAAGGAAATCCCATTCCCCTCTGCAGGCTGCTCAAGTGCAGCTAGACCGCAGACCTCAGTCTCTCCCAGCCCCTCCCAGCCCAGCTGGGGTTGAAAGGTAGACAGACTCTCTAAGAGCTGCCCCAGCACATTTGAAGGAGCAGGCACTTTCAGGTGGTGTTTACATTGGTTCGATCTTGCACAAAAGCAACCGCTTTTGCACCAAAACTTGCTGCCTGTCTACACTGGTCGCGAGTTCTTGCGCAAGAACACTGCCATTCTAATGTATGAAATCAGTGCTTCTTGCACAAGAAGTATGATGCTCCTGCTCAGGAATAAGCCCTCTTGCGCAACTGTTTTTGCGCAAGAGGCCAGTGTAGACAGGAAACATGAATTTCTTGTGCAAGAAAGCCCTATGGTTAAAATGGCCATCGGAGCTTTCTTGCACAAGAGAGCATCTACACTGGCATGGATGCTCTTGCGCAAAAGCACATCTCTTGCGCAAACGCACATGCCAGTGTAGACGCTCTCTTCTGGAAGAGTTTTTGCACAAGAACTCTTCTGTGAAAGAGTTCTTGCACAAAATCATGCCAGTGTAGACGTAGCCTCAGTGTCTCTCAGTTCTCCAAGCAGCTCAGCTGGGGCTGAAATGGAGTCAGATGCTGCTCTGCCTGCTGGCTACTGCTGCAGTGGGAACTTTCCCTGGCTCACACAGGTAGCCCAACTGGGTGTAGCATGCCCGAAACTTAGTCCCGAACGCCACCTGACCCTTGTTCCTCATCCACCCCTGTATTCCACCACCCGCTAGCTCATCTTCCACATCTTCTTCAGGGTCCAGGAGGTACCTAATTAGTGGAACCACTGCCATGCCTGTGTAGCTCCACTAATTAGATGCATAGCCCTTTATTCCTTCCTATGTGGGCATGCAAGCGCACACCCTCCAGAGAGTTGTGACTAACTCTGGGCCATTCAGTTCCAAACCCCATGTTTCTATCTAGTTAACCTTAAGAAATGTGGGCAACTCCCAAGTAGTTGTAAGGTAGAAGTCAGCTTCACTCTCCCAGTCCAACTGTTGTCCACATCTGGCCTGCTCATCAGCAGACAGCCATTCTGGCATCTATACTAGGAGGCCCTTGGCTTGGTCTCTCCTAAAGGAGGGAGGGGAAGGAAGGGGTTGGCATGATGGCCACTTCTGTGGCTGGTTCTCTCAGGTGGGAGCTGCCTGTCCTTGTCACAGTCCTGTTTTCCATCTTCTCCCTCATGCTGCAGAACAGCACAGTAGTACTGAATACTCATCCAAGGACCGTCTTTCAGCACATGCCAAATGCCTGTCCTGTTCCCTATTACAGTTACTTCTCTCCCTGCTCAAATTCTTGATGTGGCCAGTTACCAAGCACCCAAGTCTTGAGCAGGTGGCCATCATGCCAGTCCCTCCCCTTCCTCCTGCAGGAGAGACCAAACCAAGGGCCTCCTAGTACAGATGCCAGAATGACTCTCTGAGCAGGCCAGCTGCAGACAACAGCTGGACTGGGAGAGTGAAGCTGACTGCTAGCTTAGATATTAGAGGTACTTCACAAACGGCCATAGCAAAGATTAGAGAAGGGTTGGAATTGGAACAGGTCGTGTGTTTTGGGAGGAATCAGCGAGGTGCCAAAGATGATTTACTGATTGTCTCACTATAAATACTGCTGATGAACCTATTTGTCACAAGATTGTCAAGGATTAAGGAAGCAAAGATTTTGGTGTTTGTTTTGTCACCTACCCTTGACCTAGGCAGACTGGAAAGGTTCGATCAAAGATATTCACACTGAACACCACCACTTTGGTTAAAGTGAAAACACATACATTTGTGTGTTCTTCCACAAACCCTTTCCTACACAGTGTGATAACACAGAAAAGAGGGACTAATCCCGGGGGCTATACTGGCTGGGAGCCAGTGGCATTCTGCACCTGCTATTTGCATGATGCCAAGTCTTAATTTTTTTCCTCTCTCTCACTGCGGTCTCAGATATGCCATTCTGACCAAAGCAACCTGGCCTTCCTGGAAAGGAGATGAGAAACAAGGGATTCTCCACCTGCTCCGCTCAGTCAATATGGACCCTGATCAGTACCAGCTTGGGAAAACTAAGATCTTCATCAAAGCTCCAGAGTCTGTAAGTATGACTTATCCTGAGTCTTTTGCACATGGCACAATTTGGTTGGGACAGGTTCAGTTCTGCCTTCTCCTGCTATGCAAGAAGCCTCTGTGGGCAGGACCTCAGAAGGACGGAATATTATCTTTTTATCCAGGCTCAACAAGTCACTGACAAGACTGCTCTTAGGATAGAGGGAAGACTTTACAAGTACTTTTATAATGGGGTCCATGGAACATTGCTTGCACATCGCTGTAAGAAATTGTAATATGCGGAGGAGTCAAGCAATGAAAGCATATGTGTAACTATTAGAACAAGAAATAAAAGAAGTATTATTTGATCAATCACAAACATAACAGATGAGCAATAGTGTCTATGTAGAGAAAATGCCCTAAATATTATGGAACATAAATTGTTTTGTATTTATTAGACCCGCACCAAATATTCTGGCATGACTGAGATTTAAGAGATGACACCATGTGAACATTAGGGTACTGGACTGAATATTTATCCCGATACTTGCTGAACTCACATTGAAAAAAATCAGATTCAACAACTATTTATTTATTTATTTATTTTAACATTTGTTATTGAAAAAATATCTTTCTTAGTGGGAAAACATAGTGCATTCAACATTGCATAGTCCTTCTCAGTCCCAAGTCAGTCAGACTTTTGGAACAAAATAGTGGTGGAAAAAGGCCTATTACCTCACTTAGGGTATGACTATGCTACAAAGAAGATCAAAGCTGATGCTATCAATCTTCCAAGGTTCGAATTAGCAGGTCCAGTGAAGACACGCTAATTCGAACTGAGAGGGGCAGTATGGTTGATGCAGTGGTCTTGCTTCCACGAGGAGTAAGGGAGGTCAAAAGGCGAGTGTTCTCCCTTTGACTTCCTGTAGTGTGGACAGCGCCAAAAGTCAAATTAAGGTACTTTGACTTCAGCTACACAATTATCATAGCTGAGGTTGTGTATCTTAATTCGACTTACCCCGTAGTGTAGACATACCCCTAGAATCTGATCCAGCTCCCATGGAAGTCATCAGAAGTCTTTCAAAGGACAGAATATCAGGGCCTGAATCAGTGGAGGGCTGTTCCCTTGCTGGTACATTTTTCTGCCTTATCCTGTTTAGCTTTAAATGTCATCTGATGGTGCTTCCACAATTTCCCTTGAAAGCATTTTTCACAGTCCCACCATGAAGGTTAATTGGAAAATGTTATGTCAAAACTTGCTTTCTACTGAAAATTAGGTTCTTAACAATTAAAATATTCACAGGAAGTATTCACTTTCCCAAAATTTTCAGTTTTTTCATTGGAAAAATCAAATCTGCTTTTTGGGGGATTTTGGAGGGCTTTCGCTGAGAATCAAAAAAAATTGTTTTGACAAAAAGATGAAATTTTCCACTGACAGAAGAAAATGCATATTTTCTAGCCAGCTCCTAAATCACATATCTTCCCAGAAAAAAAATACCCAACCACTGGTATCAAACTATTATCTTATTAAATTATCCAAACTATTAAAAGGGTTGCATTAATTTTGAGAGACATGAAGCTGTAGATGACTCATGTAGATTTATATTTTGTTTCTGTCAAAATAAAAGGAGGCATGTGATTGTTATAGGTGGGGAGACCTATGATTTGTAGAGCCTTGCACAGATACAAAATTTGTATCTGCAACCGCATTGGTATCCACAAAATGAGCCACGGATATCTGCATTGACATCCACGGATACAGATATCCATGGATACAAAGTGGATAGCTGCAAAATGGCAGTGTTTTAGATGCAAAATTTGTATCCCCATTGATATCTGCAAAAACGAGCTGCGGATATCTGCATCCACATCTTTGAATATCCACCTCCATATCCACATCTGTGGATGTGGATACCCACAGATATAAAATGGATATCCACAGATTTGCAGGGCTCAGTCAGCTTGCTATGAGGGAGTGTAAAAGGAACTGACTATGTAATGACTACATTGATTTTTTTATGAAAGAATTTCTCTAGTATTTTTGTTTCACAACATCTTACTGTGAACAGCACTTTTTTTTAATCAATGTTTTTATTAGATGAGGGAGAGTATGACTTTGTAATGGCCTTAAATTACAGCTGATAAAGTGCTTTGCTTTGCTAGACTGCTTTTAGTATGACAGATAGACAAAAATGGTATGTGCTGACAGGACACAACATCAGTAATGTTGCTATAACCTAAAGTGCACTGATTTAGGGTGTGATCATGCCCCCACTGAAGCTGACTGAAGGACTGGAGTTTGTGTGCTGAAATCCTATCTACTGCTTGCATCATTCTGAAGGGAATTTTACAAGCTTTCTATAGATGAAGAGTTGCCAACTAACTATGAAGTAAGGTTTTATGAATGGCAGACAGGAGGCCATTTCCAATACACACCTGAGTAAATAATTCTGCCTTCACATACAAGGGAAAGTGAGACCCAGTGAAAATGGTTTGTACTAGATTGTGGTTTTTTTTCTTTAATATCAGTATGACACCCCCTTTTTATAGCATTTCTAAGTCTTTGCAAGATTTCAGGAGATAAACTGAGCAAAAGGTTTTTAAATGTCTGAGTCTGCTGTTTGATGATTTTCACTGTTTTTCGGGGGTCTATTGCTGGCTACTTGAAACAAACTGCTTATGGCAATTTAACAAACAACAAGAGCGAGTACAGATCAATCCAGACAACATTTTTGTGATTTAACCATGATACAGTAAGCTGGATGATCATGCTGATGATAAAAGCAGCATTAATTAATCAAAAATCAGCCTACTAACAAAAAAATTTACAGTGCCATAAATGGATACAGTGCAATATGTTCTATTCCTTTGCAATTATGAAAATTGCTCTACTGAAAATTTCTAATAAACCAAGTCTGTATATCTGGCTGGATTAAAACAAATACTCTTTCAGTTTCTTATGACAATTATTCAGAATCTCATTAACTGACTAAAAAAAAAAAGATACTTCTGAACCTATGATCTGTGTTTTCTCAGACTAGCTCCACTAAAAAAAAAAAAAAAAGAATCATTCCTAGGGTTTTGGTTTAGGTTCATTTCCCTTATATGTTTATATGTCAGAAGTTGGGGAGGGGGAGATTTTATTTTGTATTCTTCTGGGTCCTGGAGTAGTCAATCTAGAACATGCCATAAGCATCTAATTTACTGTGCGACTGGTACATGGTTATTTCCAGGTTTTGCATTTATATAAGGGATAGCATGACCAGATAGCAAGTAAAAAATCAGGACAGGGTGGGGCAGGGGGTACTATGCTCCTATAAAAGACAAAGTCCCTAGTAACAGGATGGTCCCAATGATATCGGCAGGACTCAACAAATCAGTGAATCTACTCGCCCGTGATGAGTAAATTTCAGCCGGTTGCCCCGTTCACCGGTGGCGCATGCATGCGCAATGCAGGTCTTGCGCATGCACAGTGCGGGGCTGACTAGTAGATTTCGCCACGGTTTGTCAAGCCCTGAATATCGGAACATCTGATCACCCTAGTAAAAGGACATATTTCTGACAGGATAACAACCAAGGTGCTAATGATGACATCTTCTGTAATTATTTTTGTAGTATTACTTCTTGTACTACATTATGCCATGAAAGGTTCACAACATTGCACTGATATTTAATATAGGAGGCTACATTAGGTTCTGCTCACATTGTACATGGAGAGAGCAAAAAAAGGGAGAAACTATAATTCCTCACAATATGCATCAAAATGTAAAATTACAGTCAGCTTTTATATCCTTGTCTATTTATAGATCTATGTAATAGAGTTGAGGAGGTTTTTTTTTATATTTATGAGTCTGATACAATGCAGAATGATCAGTCACAGGGACTCTATCTATTCTTTATTGAAACTATCAGGTTAATGCAATTTAGTGAGAATTCATTGTTTGGGTTCTGATTTTTTTTATTCCACACAAGCTTTGAGATACTAAATAAGACATATACAGGAGTAAAACACACTTCTAAAAGGAGTGTAGTAATATTTCTGTGTTTTTGTATTGAAGTGCCACATTAGCATTACCTCATTTCTATATAAAATGAAACATTTCCTTTTCTGTCCATGTCATTTCAGTATCCACAAAACAAACACCGATCTCAGTCTCTGAAAAAGATTTAGTGTTTAGATCTTTAAAGCACAGTGCTCCCTATGTTACATGTCAGAAGGTGGGGAGGGGAAAATTTTATTTTATATGCTTCTTTAGAATTTTACTAACTTTAATCACTGAGGTTGTGACCACCACAGGAACCTCCTGTCATTATCTTGGTGGGTCCATAATGGTCCCAAATGCAAAATTCAATCAGGTTTGCATCTAATCTGTAATATGGGCTCACACAATTGTATTCTATCGTAGCATGTGTGCCATTGTCTGTATCTCTACTGGGAGTAAAAATCAGGTCTTGCTTTGTGTCAACAACAATGATATTAAGTCGGTTATTAATTCTGACAATCAAAATATTAAACATGCACTGTTACTATCGGTCACGTCTGTTTTTGTTTTTGTTTTTAATCTATCAGTTATGAAACTCCTTAGACTGGCAAGGCCTATTTTTAACCCTAAGATGAGTGGCAAAGCTTATGTTACAAAAAATGTGAAGAGCAGAAGTGACCATCATGATCTAAGTCTGACTTCCTGCATAACACAGGCCATAAAATTTCACCCAGTAATTTCTGCACCAAGATGTGTTTGAACCAAGTGTCTCTTTTAGGAAGAGCTCAGGATTGTATGTTGTTTCTCCAACACAGCTGACATCACAAGTCCTAATCTTTTTTTCCCTCAGATATTTTACTTTAGAGGGAAACAAAACTGGAAATCACACTTTGGTGTGAAACTTTTGAGCTACTATTTTTAAATATTGCCCTTCAGGTGATTAAATTTATACATTTGGAAACATTTTGTGTAGAGTTGATTTTTACGATATTCTTGATGTTCAGTTCCATTTCCTGCTTATGGCAATGTCACTCCTGTGTATTATTCAACACCCAAAACACCCGGGCAGGTCTGTGGAATGTAGACACCAGGAGGACTTATCTTAGTGCTGCTACTGAAGAAGTGTAGAAAGGGGTGGCAGTGATGCTTTTAGACCTTCCCATTGTCCCTTACAGAAAAGCACTTTATAACAGAAGAAAGTAAGCTTAAAACACTCCTCAAATATAATGAATCTTCCCACTTGTATGACTGGTATCATTTTAAAATTTGCTCCATTGTCAGTGGGTTTCTCTTTAAGACCAACTTCCCATCTTCAGTTTTGTGTAAAAGCTTTATGTTTACCATATGATTTCACTTTGGTAGCTCTAGTTACTTTGCTGAACATGCAGAAAAGATGTGTTTGCTTTAAAACCCACAGTGGATAGGCATGACATTATTTTTCTTTTGGTAGCATCCACAGTTTCAAACTTCACAGCTTGAAAGACATTCACACAAGACAGCTAACTCTTTTAAAATAGTATATTTTATGCTTATACTTTAATACTTATGTTTTATATTTATGCTTATTTTTTAACCATTTTTATGAAATACCCTAATTAGCAAAGAGGAAATTTAGTATCTTTGCTTTTCTCTCAGAAAACAACAGAAATTCCTGCAGCCTTTTCTAAGAAACATCCTGCAAAGATATACAAAACCCAAAACCCCTAGCTGGCATAAATGATTTTAAAATGAAAAGAGAATAACCTAGTTTTAGGAGTTTCCCTTTTCATATGGAGTAAGCATCAGACTTCATCACCTTTCTGGATTAATTTGTGAAACTCCCATGGAATTTTTGAAACAAGTCAAGCCTGTGCCTGCATTATAACTTTTAATTGGCTTAGTGTTCAGTTAGTGCCATGATTGGCTCTAAGCATGATTTTGCCCATGCACAGCACTGTCAAGATTTTAAAATTGCTACTCACAGTTCCATGTGTTAAAGTTTTATGGTCTGTCTGTATTCCTAGGATAACATATTGACATGCCTCTCTTTCAGCTGAAATCTAGCAACCAAATGTAGGGTCTGTGACCCTGAAAAACAATAGACATGGTATCTTCATGAAGGACTTTCCTCTGATTTCTATAGGATCTTCTCACATTTGCAGATATACTGGATATTACATTTTTGCAGGGGAAAAGCATACATATTGTTTGGCAACAGCCCTCAAAATAGTTATGGTTAAAAATATCAGCATCTATCAGTCTATCTAATGCCTCAAAAATATGTGTTCATTTCTATAGATAACTCAGCAGTCTAGAAAGAAACATTTAAGTATGCAAACACTTTACTCATGCCATGTATTTCTTCTTCTTCTTACATCTTCCCATCCAATTTAGCTGTGCCTCTCTATTTGTACATATACACAGACAGTACAGAATTACTAGGATATTAAAAAATCCTGTGTCCTTATCGAAGGTTTGCCTTCAAGTGTGCTGTAGCTAATATGCAGAATGCTATTACAGGTACTCTGCAAACATCTGACTTACAAGCCTCCACACATACAAACAAAAGCTCACCTGCAGCCTCAGAGGATCAGGCAAGAGGCACAGTTGGTGGTGAGCTGTGCAAGTGACAGGAGGACTCCAGAGGAGTAGGGTCATGTAATCAGCGGCTGGAGAGAAGTAGTGCTTTGAAAGGGAAACCACTGCTTCTCTCCAACTGCCAACAACACCGCCACCCCTTATTCCTCCGGAGTCCTCCAGCCTGTGTTTGCCACGTCCTGGTGTGAATGGGGGCTGGGTGCAGCCCATGGGAGGAAGGGGCACAGGATGCGTCTGGCTGCAGGGGCCAGTGCAGACTCTATGGTGAGGGGATGGCTGGGAGATTCCCAGAAGTCCCCTTCAGAATTGCTCCCTATCTCCTCATCTGTCTCTAATTACATCTACCTTTCCTCAAGCACCAGCATTCAAGATTAAATAAAAAACTATTTCTACTATTTTGCATTGCAAATATACAGTATTTCAGCTATTTTATGGGTTAAATAGGTGTTTTTGGGCTAGCCTGGGACTGTAACTATCATTTATAACACTGTTTCTATGGGAAAATGTGTTCCGAGTTCCAAACAACTGAATTTAAAATGAACTTTTGGAACCAAACCGATTTGTAAATTGGGGACTTTCTGTAATTATTACCAGAACCTCCGCCCACCCACACACACCCACAAAGCAGTACAGTTGTTAGTGAACACTATAGGCATACCTGCCGTCCACTTAGGTCATTATATACTTATATGGAGTTAAGATATCATTCCATAAATCCAAGGTTTTGCTTTCTATTCCTAAGAACAACTGAACTCCTCAAACACATCCCACAAACTGAAAGCTTACTGATCTCTGATGTGGTAATGCATCTTGTTACTAACTAAACTGTAATTAAATCTTTAGTTATAATTATATAAGTGGCATATAATTTCTTATGTTTGGCATATAATTTCTTATGCCAAGAAAACAGTATTTCAGAACACAATGGGGACCATCCTCAAAAATTCTGGATATAGCCTACAGGGAAGTTTCCCAGAGATGCCCTAAAACCTTGCCAAAAAACAGCATATTAGGCACAGATTAATTGAACCAGGATCTACACCATGTCTATCAGGGAACCCTGAGTAACTTGGACCTACAGAATCATCTAGGGGACTTCCACTACTGAAAAAGAGGCACAATGACTTTGAAATTCAGAAGACTTGGACAGGGCAGGAACTAGAGTCACCCTCTGGCCTGAAATGAGAGGGTAGGATCAAGTTAGGCATCCTTGATTACATGTTATCTAAGATAAGACCAGTCCTCTTCTGTACCCTGGTAATGCCATGCCCAGATTCAGTCAAGAAACAGCAAATGGCAGGAGGGCAGGTCACACATAGTACAGTTGAGATGGATCCACTAGAAAACCACAGTCAAAGTTGTGATAGGGCTGCAGGGAGAAAGATTGTCCCTATTCACTGTCCTCCAGACTTTGACAGCTGCAGTAGGGAGTAGATTCAACATGAACCATCATTTCCCCCATCACCATCAGAGGACACTTCCTTTCTCTGAGAGGTCTTTCTTTCCCAGTCTGATGCTGGGACCACTGACACTGCTTGTAAAAGACTCTTGATTCTGAAGTGTAAACAATAGGTGGCATCCATGGAGGTTGAAACTGGAACGTGCATTTTTCCAACTTTACTTAGTCCTCATCTGAAGTATTTGACTCATTTTTCCTCTTTATGTGTAGCTGTTTTTGCTTGAAGAGATGAGAGAACGGAAGTATGATAGATATGCTAGGGCAATCCAGAAAGCATGGAGGAAATACATGGCCAGGAAGAAGTATGTACAAATGAGAGAAGAAGGTATGTCTACTTATGCTGTTGGCGCTATATGAATGATTCAAGATCCAGAAAGAGAGCATGATTAAACAAGCAAAGTAGTATCTCCCATCTTGTAGTGCAAACTGTTGCATTGCTTTGTTTGAAGTTGAATGCATTTTTCTAATAATTCAAAGTGGTGGGGATTGAGGTTATCTAGGATTTTGAAAAAAGAGCTTCCCATTGCTGAACAGAATACAAATTCAGTCCTAGATTTGTCATGCTTTATTGCCTTCCTGGACAATAGCAAAATACTCCCACAAGCTCTTAGCTTTAAACAAAAGTAAGGAATTAATATTTTGAAAAAAGTATGATGCTTATTACAGCACGAATCTGTTATGATGGCAGAGGATGTTGAGTAATACTTTAGATTTGGGGTATTGATACTAAATATGTATGCTCTTTCATTGCCAGAAATAGGAAGTTCTGCTTCCTTTTGCTTACACAGAATATGAGAGCAGAAGCTGGCAATATTTCTATAGGGATTGATTACATCTGGGATTTAAATTGGTAGATCAGCAAAATGAGACCCAAGCATCAGAGGATAAAACTGAGGTGTATCTTCATCAATGTTAAAACGTTAAGATTTTACTTTTCATTTTTCATTTTACGATTCCCAGGGAATAAAAATGTTCCCATTATAGGAGAGCCTCAAAAGAAAGTACCAGTAGTCAAATCTCTCATTGAGTCATAGAATCATAGGGTTGGAAGAGACCTTAGGAGGTCATCGAGTCCAACCCCCTGCCTAAAGCAGGACCACTCTAACTAAATCATCCTAGCCAAGGCTTTGCCAAGCCAGGATTTAAAAATCTCTAGGGATGGAGATTCTACCACTGCCCTAGGGAACCCATTCCAGTGCTTCACCACCCTCCTAGTGAAATAGTTTTTCCTACTATCCAACCTAGACCTCCCCCACTGCAACTTGTCATTTGAATGAACTCGGTCTGAAACTTCAGGGAAAGATGATTTTTGATGTGGCCCAGCACATTTGGGAGTTCATGTCTAAGCTACAGCTATTCATCATTCAAATGTAGGCAGGAGAATTCACCCACTTCCCAAATTTGAAGATAATTGCTGGAGACGGTGAATTTGAGTGTGATGACCTTGATTGTCAGCATTATGTGAGATGGCTTGAACACCTGGCAATGTAATTCAGCCAGCCTTTTTCAGATTTTGAAAGCTTAATGTTGGCATTTCGATTCATGGAAAACCCATTTCAGTGTGACATTGCTAATTCTCAAGACCTTTTCAAGTTGCTTTGCCTGGACAAATGTTTGTTTGAAGAAGATATACTCACACTTCAAAGACAGTTCGGTCAGTCAAAAAATGAATAGTTTTTGACAATCTTGGTAGGCACGAGTTTGACAGCACTGAAGCTTTTTGTGGGACGGGGTTAGTAGTTGCTCTTAGAAAGAGTTCGAAGCCACAGAGATCAGGTTTGCATCAGAACCAACCCAAATTCTGGAAGTGGTTCTCCATTCTGGGCAAATACTTAAATAGGGATGGCTTTCAAATCACACATTGGCTATCAGAAGGATTATCAGCTTAACCATTGCCTTTTTTAACCTTTCAGACAAATATATTTGCCTACATTTTTTCCTTACATTAAGCTCCTCTTGAAGCCCTATGGGCTTTTACTGTTCATGCATTTAGAAACGTCTCTGGTAAGCAGTATTTATTGATGTACACTTTTGGTGTTCAAGCCTCAGATCTGTTGCTGAACAAGAAAGAGAGAAGACGAAACAGCATCAACAGGAACTTTATTGGGGACTACATAGGCATGGAAGAGCATCCAGAGCTACGTCAGTTGGTTTAAGGTATGATTACAAAAAACTTCATGGTCCTCAGTCCATGGTGTCTATATTTTGGATCAAAGCTTTTTAGGAACTACCCTGTATAGGAAACTCCACCAAACTTAGAAAACCCCCGTTCCTGACTGTAGAAAGGGTATAGGGCAGTTCCATTCACCCAAGGATTCCAATCTGAAGGAAAATTATTACTTTTGGGACAGATGGATGCATATGATTTCTGGTAAAGGATGCTGTCACATTTTTTAGCCATGATCCAGGTCATTTTCAAGTTTTTTGTCCCAAGGATAGGGTGGGCTGTGGCAGGTGCTGAGTAGAAAATGGAGTAAGAAATAGAGAGTAGTGAGCAAAGTTTTATTTTTATCTAAATGCAATCCAAGCTGAGAAACATTCACCCACTTCTCCCCCCCCCCCAAAAAAAAAATAGAGCTGGTACATTATGTATCTGTAGCTTATTTGTGTGCTTCTTGTTTAGCCAATTTTAGGTGCCTGTGGATTTTGATGATGCTGTACATTTATATTTTTTCAAATCATTTCACATTTCAGGGTGTGAAGCGAGACCTTGTCCTTACCCCAAAGTGCATATATCTGATTGGGCGTGAAAAGGTGAAGCAAGGTCCAGAAAAAGGTCTGGTGAAGGAGGTGTTAAAGCGGAGGATTGAGGTGGAAAGAATTCTTTCTGTTTCCCTAAGGTCAGTGCCTGGCTAGGTTCTTTCTGCTGGCAGAGAAAAATCATGTAGGAGCAGGGGAGGGGAGGTTGTTTACAAGAGCTGGCAGTATTTGGTGAATTTGAAAACTCATGACAGCAATGAGACACATTTCTGGAAACCAAACTGCTTTTCCATTCTTACCAAAATGCCAGATACAGGAGTACACAAACTTACATTTGCACAAACACATGCAGATTTCTGAGTACCTAGTAAAGCGGTGCAGTCAGTAGTTTGACCCGTGTCTTCACCTGCATGATCAATTGTAATTAACATTAAGAATTGGTAATTGCTTTTTATCCGAATGTCTTATCTTAGAACAATTCCTAATGCTTTTTGAGTATATCTTATGTCAGTCCTTCTTGGTGGAGTTCTGCCAGTAAAACTTGCTAAAGAAACGTTCTCTCCAGCCATTCTACATTAGGCCTTTTGTGCTGGTTAGCCTGCTAAGTACTTCTGCTGACTCAGGGCCAGACAAATTCCCAATTACAGGAAATAGCTTCTGTGGTCACATAATGCTTAGGAACCCACTTCCAGGTGATTCAGAACAAAACAACAAGAAACTGCACATTAGACAGATTCCCATCTAAAACACATTTCTCCCTCACAAAAGGAGAAAACAAAGGTTTCTGCCATCTTTGAACTTGTCACATTTTGCCAATGCTGACATTTGATTGATACACAGTGATAACCAAACCACCTGTTTAGATCAATAAGTGGAGTTAAATATTAAAGTAACATGTTTTTAATTCCCAACCTCAATATTATGGGTCTGTAACTAAAAGTAAACTTTTGAAGTACATGTTTATAAATATCTACCTCAAATTAGCCCAGCCTAAAATTCTGTCAGACAAATTATCAGAACATCAGGTGCTTAGTAAATGCCAAATTCATATTTCTGTGTGGTTTTTACTTCACATCTGTTCCTAATTTTCATGGATAAGGAAAAGCGGTGTAAAATGTGCCAGTTCAATCAAAGTATTTCTAAGCAGATATCTTAACACATTCCTGGTCTTGTTCTTTTCCACTTCATTTTCAAATCAGGCTGTGCTGTTTTGTTTGACACACATTTAGAACAAAAATTGCAACCAGGACCAGCTACAGTTATAGGTGTTGGCTGGATGTTAGAGTGAAGTCTCCCATTCTGGTGCTTGAAAACTAAACTGTTTGAGTGTGGATCCTGAAAATTACTACAACCAGGCACTCAGACTAGGACCCTAGTACTCTGTAAAGGGATGCTAATGTAGCACTTTGGAATAGGCAAATCCGCGGGGGATTTAAATATCCCCCGCGGTATTTGCATTAACATGGCTGCCGCTTTTTTCCGGCTTGGAGATAAGCCAGAGAAAAGCGCCAGTCTAGACGTGATTCTCCAGAAAATAAAGCCTTTCAAGTAGGAATAAGAGATCCTCCAGAAAAGGCTTTATTTTCCAGAGAATCACGTCTAGACTGGCGCTTTTCTCTGGCTTATCTCCAAGCCGGAAAAAAGCGGCAGCCATGTTAATGCAAATACCGCGGGGGATATTTAAATCCCCCGCGGATTTGCCTATTCCAAAGTGCTACATTAGCATCCCTTTTCCGAAAGGGAGGCCAGTGTAGACACAGCCATGGAGTTTTATTTGTATAGAAATTCTTCATGCTTTTTAGTGTCTCATGAGTAAATCAATCTGCACTTTTCAACACAATCTTTCAGCCTGGAAAATTCTGCATGTTTTAAATATAGTTACAATAATTGAATTGTTGAACAAACCTGGAAATGAATCCAGAAGGAAAATATGTTAAATTAGTTTCTCCTGAGCTCATCTCGAATGGATTACAATTATACATCTATAACTATAACAAACATTTCAAAGCATTAAATTCTTTTCTAGACTATTATTTTCAACATGTTTTAATTTAACAAGAGCACTCAGAATAGAATAAAGCATATTTTTAAATAGGAATGTGGGAGGTAGAGAGTGTGATTATTTCTCAGAGGGATAGAGAGGTTCAACTTTTCCTCTCAGTGTTCTGCTTGGGGATTACATGAGATGGAATTGCTGTCATTTGATAATATTGAAGAGGAGTGACTGTGGGCGCTTTTATTTTAAGCTAATTTGAGGGCATCTAGAGCAGGTATTCTTTTTATTCTATGTACAATATATATACACACTTACAATCTGAACTGGAGAGGCTTGCATTCTGCAGCAATCTAAGACAAAGTGAGTATCAAAAGGCTGCTGCTGTTTGCCTCTCCCAGATTTAAAGTGCCAGCTATAAACAAAGCATGCTGGGAAAGGAGCATTCTAAAAGGGTGTGCCTAAAAGGGGAGGGTAATTAATAGCCAGGTAATCAAAAAGTAGGTAATTGAAAGAGTGAGCAAACTGAGTTCTGTGTCAGACAAAAGGGTGAAAGAGCCTTGTGTGGTTGACCTAATTAGTCCTCTTTTGATTTGTTGTAATGTGTTGAAGCTATACATATTCAGATTTCTGTTAGCCATCAGTGATTTCCTTTGCTTGGTTTAACACCATATGTACTTTTTTGAGAAATGAAGCCATCACCTGCTGGCCACCATATAATCTGGGCTTCCCTTCCACCTGGCTACAAAGAGGCATGGTTTGCCACAGCTTTCACTAGATTAGGTGGATATTGACACTGACTAGTGTTGCAGCAACAGATTCTAATAAGTTTCCGTTTAAAAAGAGCCTTTCTAAATAAATGTTATTTCTAAATCTAAGAGGGTATAAAATGCTGAAATACAAAATCATTTCTTTTCAGAGAGAAATGCAGACTCCAGGTTCTCTTTTGCTTAGTATGTTACAGCCAACAGTAACCCAATATTTGCTAACGTTGTTAGCAGTCAGAAGAGAAGATGAAAGGGAGGCCAGTATGCAACAAAGCCTTATACTGGTATGGGTGCCGTAAAAGCTGTGTGCAGAGTTTAACATCTGTAAGAAATGGCAGCCTAAACACGTGTATAAGGCAGTAGGCCCTTTGAGATGCCGAAATAGCGTGCCTGTTATTTCAAGAAATATTTCAAAATAACGGGCGGTTTGTGTAGACACAGGGTAGCTATTTCAGGATACCAGTGCTACTCTGGTATCCTGAAATAGCCATGCAGTGTAGATGTACCCTGAAAAAAAAGAATTCTATATAAACAAGAACTATTTTAAACATTAACGCTGAAGCAAAGGTAAACCTGGCTTGGTGTCTTAGAGTGCGTCTACACTGCAAGGCTTAACTCAAAATAAACTTCGCAAATTGAGCTACGTCAATTGCATAACTTATTTCGAAATAGCTTGTTTTAAAATAGAGCGCGTCTACACAGCACTTATTTTGAAACAGAGCACTCTTCCTCTGACTTGCCTTGCTCCTCGTACAATGAGGGTTACAGGAATTGGAGTAAGAAGTCCTCCAGCTGAACAGTATTTTGACACTATTTCGAAATAACTGCCTGCTCTGTAGACGTGGACTAAGTTATTTTGGAATTGCGCTAGTTATTTCGAAATAGTGTTGCAGGGTAGATATACCCTTAGTATCACAAGAGAGAACTTTTTATCTTGGGGATTCCAGAAGTGTGCAGAATCAACCATGTCCCAGTCCTTTAACAGAACTCCATGTGGCCTTGGGATTCTGCTTCTATGAGTTTGTAGGATCTTCAATTGAAGTAAATTGGAATCACTCCAGTGAGGTCAGTGGAATTATGCTGACTTACCCCAGCTAAGGATTTTACCTAGAGTCTATGATTGCTTCACTGTCCAAGTTTGGTGAGTCCAAGTTAAAGGTGATGCAGCATGGGAGATTGCTTGCATTTGTTCGTTTGAGTTTGTCTCATTTTAAATAGTAATTCTTTTTCAGCTTCTCTTAATTAACGTCACACAACACTCTACAAATGTAGCCTTAATGACAGTTTTGTTGTTGTTAAGGATATGAGCTTATAATCATAGCACATATTCCCATTTTATAATAACAATAATTAACTTAAAATGACTAATTTGTATTCAGCTATCACATAGGAAGATTGTTAGGGGAATTCCATTACCAGCAGCTGAAACAAAGGACCATTATCTAAAAGCAAAATTTGGCTATTCTTCACCATGATTGCTTTCAAATGCTATTAAAAATGCGGGGTTATTTGTTTCACTTTGGATTCAAGTCTGAATGACGCATAATCTGATTCGTTTACAGCACAATGCAAGATGACATTTTCATTCTACATGAGCAGGAATATGATAGTTTGCTTGAATCAGTCTTCAAAACAGAATTTTTAAGCCTTTTATCTAAGCGATATGAAGAGAAAACACAAAGAAAACTACCTCTGAAATTTAGCAATATGTGAGTAATGGCTTTTCCAACAGATTTTTTTTTTAATTAAACAACTGTTTCTTCTGGTTATCTGGGTTAAGGTGCAAAAACAGGATAGTGTGAGTACTGTATTCTCATACTGATACTCCATGCTCTTTTACAGAACTATGGTGAGGTGTGCTATGTGAATGCCTACATAGTCTTCTGGCTTTCTAAGCACATGTCTTTCTTGCATTGCCTGTGTAATACCACAGGGTAAAATCCTAACCACTTCCCACTTCTGATCCTCTGCGTGCAGTGTGACCTGCGTGCAGCATGACTGCCTTTGCTTCGCTGAATGGGGAATCAGGTTATAGAGAGGCCACATAAGGGACATTCTTCACCGTCGGTGTTCAACGTAACAGTTCTCTGTGTCAGTTCTCCCAACTGCAAGAGGCTAGCCACATAGATTCACAGTCCAAACCCTGCCCCTATTAGAGGAGGACAGGGCAGTAGCAGCTGCAGAGAGGCTGTTCTGGTATGGCATGCCCTAAAAAGGAAAAATTCTCTTCAGTCCCATTGTGTACTCCTTGACCTTACCCTGAAGATGCTGAAGTACTACACTGAGGCATGTAATATATGTGCTTAGACACATAATGGGGAAACAAGGCTGGAGTGATGGGTGGCTATTTGAAAATGGGTCCTTATTTAGGGTAGGTGTTTGGATTTTTGGGACCAGAGACTTGCAGGGATCAGTGGGCATAGTGTGGATAAGTATCAGAACTTCTAGCTAGATGCTTGTCCAAAGAGGCCCCCAAATATTAGAGAACTTGAATTTGTAGGATTTTGTTTGGATATTGGGAGTGATTTTTGCTATAACAGCAGCATGCTGGATACCATAGCAATAACACTGCGTTCTTGGTAATACTGCTATGTAGTAAGTAAAATAATGATATTGAGCCTGAAGTTTGCATATCTGTTTTATTCCAGTCAAAGAAGTGTAAGAATTATTTAAGGGAGAATATTACTTTAGCTTGATAATGACATGGGTGAGTAGGAAAAAGTGTAAAAGGTTCCATATAGTCATGTAGCCTGGGAATCCAAAACCAGTTTACTATTGTAAAAACAATGCATAACTGAGGTTTTGCTTACTATGGCTGCCTGAGCCCATCTCTAGCTACAGTACATTGCTTATATCCTCAGCAAGTGGATATTGCCTTCAGTGAATGAAACTATTTGAATTTTGATAGAGGCCTGTATCATTAAAGGAGGGCATAAGCACACCTGCAAAAATTTTAAACATTCCCATAGCACCCACAAGGAAATGTATTTGCATGCATATGTCAGGCAATGGCATACACTAATGAATATTTTGGTATGTGACACCCACTAGCATGTGCTGGGTTCTGCATGTACAGTGGGTGATCTGTTCAAACCTTTGAACATTCATTCTCTAAAGTTGAAACTCCACTGAGAGCATCTTCTACTTTGTTTAGGCCTCCCAAGAACAGTTAATGAAACCATGTTTTGTTCAGTTTAAAATACTCACGATGCACTTTCTCAGGTACAGCTATCAGCATGGTCCTGTTTATTTTTCTCCAGTTTATTTTTCTCAGTTGGTTAATGATGTTCCCTTGACCGAGACATGAATGCGTCTCTTTTTGTCTGCATGTGTGTATATGTGCTTGCATTAGACTTGAAATGAAGCTGAAGAAGGAGAATTGGGGACCATGGAGTGCAGGTGGTTCTCGCCAAGTGCAATTTATGCAAGGCCAAGGAGATTTAGCCATCTTCAAGCCAAGTAACAAGGTGCTGCAGGTCAGCATTGGACCAGGACTACCAAAGAATTCCCGTAAGTATGAATTTCCCCTTGACTGTCTTTCTCAATGGATTACAGGCTTGATATTGTCTGTTCATTTTACCTTTATTTCTCAGTCTCTTCCCTATCCACCACAGTCCCTATGTGCTTCACAGTTTCTCTCTGGCATTCACAAGAAGAGTGAATTGCAAACTATAACATTGCAATAGACGTGCCTCACCTTGTACAGCCTTTATGTGATTCACTGTTAATTCAGCAGTGCACAGTGACTGTTTATGGAAGACTCTGAGCTCATGACCCTGGGACATAAGAAGTCTGGTCTTGTAACATGGAACAGAGTACAAGGTGCAGATCAGACATAGTCTGTCCACAAAGGGCACTATCTTTTACAGAGAACCCTTCTCTGGTTTGGGGATCCACATGTGAGAAGGGGGCAGGCTGGGTGAGGAGGAAAAGGTGCCAATATCAAATTATGGAGTGATACGACAGCAAGTTTAATAGTACCTAAGAATTCAGTAGCTTTGCCACAGAGCATCTCTGTGCTGTGTAGCCTTCCCACCTCGTGTAATGGGGTTCTGAGGACTACCCCATTTGCATATTTCCGTGCTCCTTTGGAGTATGTCTACACTCAGCAACAAAGTCGAATTAAGATACGCAACTTCAGCTACGTTAATTGTGTAGATGAAGTCAAAGTCGCTTACTCGGCTTTTGGTGCTGTCTACACTGCAGGAAGTCGAAGGAAGAACACTCTCCCTTCGACTTCCCTTACTCCTTGTGAAAGCAGGGTTACTGGCATCAACCAGAGTGCCCCTCTCACTTCAAATTAGCTATCTTAACTAGACTGCTAATTCAAACCCTGGAAGATCTACAGCAGCAACTTATATCTTCCTCTGTAGTGTAGACGTGCCTTTGGAGTCCTACTACGGGGTAAGGAAGAGCCACAGATGTAACAGACCTTGTAATAATCTGTTGTTAAGTATTAAAGCCTCTCAAACATGAGCTAAGTCTTGTACATATCATAAGTTGTGTTCAAACCATATTTAGCCAGTTTTGTTCCTTTGTTCTTTCACCTGTGGTTACAGAGGTCTACCTCTCATGCCCCCCTTTACACACACACACACACACAGACACACACACACTCACTTTTCTCTACAGCCCTTTAATTAAAAAATAGAAGATATGTTCTCAGCCACAGTGTGGCCAGTTTGTGCCACTCTGTGGTTCAAAGGATCCACAGAGCCAGCTAGTGAAGGATTCTGACATGAGGAAATCTTCTGACAGAGCTTCAGTAATACTTGACATAGTGGACTTACAGTATAAAGAAATTACTGGACAAAGAATGTGTTTGGAACACTATTAAACCAACTCTCCCTGGCTTCTGGAACATTCCTTGGGGCTAATGGCACTTGGGTTCCGTTTAAACCAGCTTTAAGATCACAGTAGGGAGCAAAACCAAACCCCAGCTGGCCCTAGGACTGGGTGGGTTTGTTAAAATGGCATTAAGTTACCTTTCATCCCTTAGCCCTTCAGGTGATATTCTAAGCTTGGCCAAGACCTGAGTTTCAAATGCCTTGTTCTGATCAAGAATGAGAAGTTGACATTCAATGGAAGGACTTGTTTACTGAATGCTACACAGAGGGCATCAATCTGACAGAGCTTAGTGTGCTTATTGTAGGCCCCACGAGACGGAACATGACCCAAAGCAGAGGGTATTCCCACAGGACTCAAACTCAGAATTACCCCATGAGGGCTGCTCCACCTCCCCCAGGTAAGTTATCTTGCTCTTTTTGCATTCCAGACTCAGTTTCTGTCTTTGGTGTGATAGCTGGGCAAAGCATTCTGGAGTTTGTTTTATCCCTCAGTTCTAAAAGTAAGTGCTCTTGTACATTTCAAAGGAGGAATGTGGAACTTCGCATGCAGCCCAGGGCCAATGGGAAGTCCGGCTGACCCCGGGCTACATGCTACCCTGCTGCTTTGAAATGCCATGTGGAGCCTGGGGTCAGCTGGGGATTTCCCAGCTGACCCCAGGCTCTGCGCAGTTTGAAATGCCGCACCGGAACCCGGGATTCGCTGATGAGTCCCCAGCCGACCCTGGGCTCCACTTGGCGCTGCCGCTTTGAAATGCCATGGTGGTGTTTCAAAAGGGCAGTGCTGCATAGCTGATCCCAAGCTCAGTTTTGTGTGGCGCTGCTTCTTTGAAAAGGGGGTACTTCAAACAGGCAGTGCTGCACCGAGCCCAATCTCAGCTGTGCAGCGCTGCCCCTATGAAATGCCACCTCAGCATATCAAAGCAGCAGCACAGCATGGAGCTCAGTACAGACTCTGTGCGGCGCTGCCATTTTGAAGTACCCCCCTTTCGTCCCCCTTTGCTGCCTCTATCTGATAGAGGTAGCGGGAGTGGGAGGGGGAAATTGACTAGTCAACAAGTAAACACAGCACAGGGCTAGATAATACTCAGCCATGTCACTGTGCTCTCACTGCCACCCATAAAGGAACTTGACTTGTGCCTCATTACTCTTCTGGTATGCAACAGCTTTCAGAAATGTTGATGAGTATGAGTTGCACCAGTGCATATATGCAGAAGAGGCAGTCTCTCTATGAGATGTTCTCTCCTTGGAGTTGAATAAACTAGTAACCTGGATGGTAGCTTTTATTCTAAGTTGTGGGCAGAATTGAATCTAGACTGATGTCCTTAGGCTTGGGTCTATTATTTTCACTTTTGCCCTTAAGTTATAATTTAATTTACAGAAAATAACACTGTAATTTACTAAACACATTTTGGAAAGTCTTAGACATTTTTTCAATAAGAAGCAACCACTTATTTTAGAAAAGAAGAACAGTGCAAGGAGAAAACTTCATGCTGACACTCTTTGCCAGATAAAATAATATAAAAGTCTAAATGTATACAGTACTGACTCAGGCAGGACAAAGTTCAGCGTGAATTTCAGACAAAAAGAATTGCATGGAATTATTTTTCAAGATGTGAAGCCTGTTTGCAACAATTAAGCAATAGAATGCTTTCACTGCAGTAAATATTGGATCAACTTTTCTTCAACACTAGGGCTGCGTCTACACTGCAGGCTTCTTCCGCAAAAACTGTTTTGCACAAGAGTTTCTGCACAAAAATTCTTGCACAAGAGTGTGTCCACACTGCCATGTGCTTTTGCGCAAGAGATGTGCTTTTGCACAAGAGTGTTCATGGCAGTATGGACGCTCTCTTGCGCAAGAAACCTCTGCTGGCCATTTTAGCCATAGGGGTGTCTTGCACAAGAAACCCCTGTTGCTCATCCACACTGCCTTCTTGCACAAGAGCTCTTGCGCAAGAGGGCTTATTCCTTGTGGAGAGAGGAATAACTCTTACGCAAGAATCCCTCTGTTCCAGTGCTTTACTGTAAATTTACTTGCTCAAGAACACACGTGCAGTGTAGACACCCCACAAGTTTTTGCACAAGAACAACTGTTCTTGCGCAAAAAGTCTGCAGTGTAGATGTAGCCTAGTTCTGAATGTTCATAATTAGGCAGTAAATATTTGTTTGGAGTTAAATTTGTTTATTTTTAACAGTATTTGCAAACACTCACCAGTGTTTGAGAATCAGGCCTGCAAAAGACAGCCACATTGAGGGTACGTCTACACTACAACGTTAATTCGAACTAACTAAGCTAATTCGAACTAACGCGTCTAGAACTAAAAACTAGTTCGAATTAGCGTTTTGCTAATTCGAACTAGCAAGTCCACATTGAGTGGACCCTGAACAGGGCTTAAGGAGGGCCGGAAGCAGTGCCGGCAGGGCATCAGAGGAGGACTTAGAGCGTGGAGATGCTGTCTCAGGCTAGCCGAGGGCTGCGCTTAAAGGGTCCCGACCCCCACCCCGGACACACAGTTCTAAGGGGTGCCCCGCTTGCAAAGCAGTCCTGGCTTGGAGTGCCCTGAGTGCCCACACTGGGCACATCACACCACTCGGCCATCAGCCCGGCTGCACTTGCCGCAGGCTGCCATCTGGGGAGAGGAGGCAATCGGGGGGCTTCAGGAGAGCTTCCACCCCCAGAAGCCCGCAGAGCCAGCCCAGTCCTCCCCATCGGGGGCTCGTACACCATTCCTCCCTCACCTCCTTCCACTTACCCTTCCCTAGCCCCCCTTCTTATTGATGTACAAAATAAAGATAACGTTTCTTCCAACATTGACTCTGTCTTTATTGAACAAAACTGGGGGAGACTGGGAAAAGGAGGTGGGAGAGGGGAAGAGAAAGGCTGGGAGAAGAGAGGGCAACTAACATGATCAGGGGTTGGGAACAGGTCCCAGATCAAGAGAGGCTACAGAGACTGGGACTGTTCAGCTTAGAAAAGAGGAGATGGAGCGGGGACAGGATAGAGGTCTCTAAAAGCAGGGGTTGGGTGGAGAGGGTGCATTCAGAAAAGTTCTTCATGAGTTCCCCTAAAGAAGGACTAGAGGACACCAAAGGAAAGGAATGGGTAGCAGGCTTCAAACTAGTAAGAGAAAGTTGTTCTTCTTCCCAAAGCAAATAGTTAACCTGCCTTAAGAGAACATCCCAGAGTATTTCAAACAGACTCACTGGGATTTTCAAAGGAAATTAGGCACCATGTCATTTGGGGAGCTAAATTCTTAGGCTCTGATGAAAATCCCAGCTACCAAGAACAATTATTTTCCCCCCCCTGTGAAATCTGATTTTTCTTGTTCCCAAGTGTGTCCCAGCAAAGGGGCCTCCTAGCTCCAGCTGGGCAGGGGAGAATGGAAGGAATAACAGAAAGCAGCAGGAGCTGCAGGGGGAGAGAGAGAGGAGGAGGAGCCTCTTATGTACCTCTCTAGCACCCCCAGGAGACTGGACTGATTAATACTTGCTTCTCAGGGAACTTCCTGTTTCCTGCTACTTCCCTGAACCCACTTGAGAACAGGCAGTCAACTGAAGTAGTAAGAGCCAGTTAGGCCCTTCCCTCACTCAGGCCCTGCTAGCAGCCTGCTTATTTGTCCCCTTCAATTGAGAATTGAGAGCCACTATAGCTGGCACAGAACAGTAGTCATGAGTGAAAGAAGAAAACGCCCCTCTGGGGCAGCATTCAGAAAAAGCAAGCAAGCAAAGGAAGCTTTTCTATCTAAGCAGGAAGGAGCGCTCCTGAGATACATAGACACAAATGTTCACAGTGAGCCTTCTGGCCCCAGTGAGGATGTGAGTGGTGAGGAGATGCCTGATCTTCCAGTTAGTCAGAGTGCAGGTGCCCTGCCAGCCACTGCAGCATCCATATCTCCATCTCAAATGGATGTAACCATGCACATCTCTGAAGAAAAGTGTAGATCAGAGAAGAGTGTGGTGAAGGCGCAAGGAACAGCTGCTGCTGAGTTTCGTTCCTTAAGTCTAGATTGATCCAGGACTCTGGACCCACTTGAGCAGTAGCCTGAGGGACTTCCTTGTACTGCATGGGCCACAGCAAGTGAACAACTTCATGTTCCCCAAAGACAATGAAAATAGAAGTTTCCATCCAACACATTACTGGCGTGAAATCCACAATGGTGACAAAGTGGAGAGGCCATGACTTATGTACTCAAAAACCCAGAATGCTGCATACTGTTTTTGTTGCAAACTCTTCCAGTCTAAAGTTCCAGCCTCATTGGGTTCTACAGGAACAAAGGACTGGAAAAATCCGGCTAGAAATCTGCCATGCCATGAGAAGGCAGCAAATCACCAGAGCGTTCCATAGGTGGAAAGAGCTTGAGATGAGACTAAGGTTTAAGGCCACCATAGATGATCAGCATCAAGGGTACATCTAGACTACAGGCTTTTGTCGACAGAGGCTTTGTCGACAGATACTGTCGAAAAAGCGCGTCTAGACTAAATCCAGTTCTGTCGACAAAGCAAGCTGTTTTGTCGACATGAGAGTGTAGACGCAAAGGACAGTGTAGATGCAATAACGCCTTCTGTTGGCAGAACTCTGTCGACAAAAGGTGTTGTTATTCCTCGTAGAATGAGGTTTACCACCCTCGACAAAACTGCCGAGTTCTGTCGACATTATATCAATAGAACTCGGCGGTAGTGTCAACAAAGCCCTGTAGTCTAGACACACCCCAAGAGAAGATTACATCAGAGTCTCTTTACTGGCAAAATGTTCTGAAAAGGCTCATTGCCATTGTGAGAATACTTGCTACCCAAAATCTAGCACTGCGTGGCACTTCAGATCAGCTGTATGTGCTGAACAATGGAAACTTCCTTAAAATTGTGGAGCTGATGGCTGAGTTTGACGCTGTACTCCAGTAGCATCTAAGAAGATTCACCACCCAAAATATGTACACATACCACTACCTTGGAAAAACAATTCAAAATGAGATCATACATTTACTGGCAGCAAAAGTCAAACAGAAGATTGTGGCAGATCTGAAGTCAGCAAGTTATTACAGATATCTGAAGTCAGCAAGTTATTCTGGACTGCACACCTGACATCAGCCATATGGAACAAATGACTTTAATGGTGTGTTTTGTAACAACAACAGAACCTAGTGAAAATGTCCATGCAATGATGACTGTCAGAGAGCATTTTCTAGAATTTATTGACATTGATGATACTACAGGAGCTGGTATGACAAATGTGCTTCTTAAAAAGCTGGAAGATACGGGAATTGCGATAGCTGACATGAGAGGTCAGAGCTACAATAATGATGCCAACATGAGAGGAAAGAACAGAGGAGTGCAGACATGGATCTGAGAGTTAAACCCTTGCGCTTTTTTTGTCCCATGCAATTCTCATTCATTGAACTTGGTGGTCAGTGATGCAGCATCAGCTTCTCATGAGGCTGCTGAATTTTGTAATGTAATTCAAAGCATCTATGTATTTTTCTCTGCATCAGTTCATCGATGGCAAATTTTGAAGCAACATCTGGGAACATCCTCTCTGCCACTGAGTGCCACATGATGGGAAAGTGGAGTGGAGGCGATAAAGCCTATCAAACACCAAATTGGGAAGATAGATGATGTCATAGTTGCCATTATGGAGGATAATGCTATGACAGGAACTGTTAATGGGAAAACAGTGGCAGAGGGAAATGGAATCACCAGAAATATACATAACTTCAAATTTCTGTGTGGCTTAGTATTGTGGCATGACATACTGTTTGAAATAAATGTTGTAAGCAAGAGACTCCAAGGTGTTGACCTTGATATATCTGGAGCAATGGAACAATTGGACAAAGCAAAGTCATACCTACAGTCTTACCAGTCAGATGAGGGATTTCAAAACGTTCTGAAGAGTGCATTGAAGTTGGCGGAGGAACTTCACACTGAAGCTATTTTCCCACCCATTCAAGAATACAAGAGTCACCGAAGAAGAAGACATTTTGATTACAAGCCACGGGATAATCCCATAAGAGACCCAAAAAAACAATTCAAAGTTGAATTCTTTAACCAGGTGCTAGATTGTGCAATACAGTCAGTTGAAGAACATTTCATGCAGCCCAAGGAACACAGCAGTATATTTGGGATGTTGTATGATATTCCAAAACTCCTCACTATACCTGAAGACCTACACCAGCAATGCAGGGCACCAGAGACGGTGTTGACACATGATGGCATGAGCAATATTGATGCGAGTGATTTAGATGGTGAGGAACTGAAATACACGAGATACATTTTAGCAGGATCAACTCCAAAGGCTGTTCTGGAATATATGTGCACAAATAAGATGACCACCTTCTTTCCAAATGCTTTTGTTGCTCTGTGCATACTTCTGACAATTCCTATAACAGTTGCCAGTGGAGAACGCAGCTTCTTCAAGCTGAAGTTAATAAAAACACATCTGTGTGTTAATAAAAACACATCTATGCTCCATAATGACACAGGAGAGGCTGGTTGGCCTTGCAACCATCTCAGTAAGCATGATTTGGCCCAGACCGTGGACCTTCAGGAAGCAGTTCAAATCTTTGCAACCAAGAAGGCACGGAAAACACCACTTTGATTATTCAAACAGATAAAAATGCCAGTGTTTACTATGCGGACAAGAAAAGTTACATTTGCCGTTCAGGCATTTGAAAGTTAAGTGTTACTTAAAATTTTTGAACAAGGCATTTTAACTTGTTAGTTCTCCTTTATTGGGGTACTTAGCAGAGCAGTACCATGAAAGTAGTAGAACAGGAAGAGGGCAGAATCGAGACCTTTCAAAGTTTTGGCCCAAGCGAGGGTGTATGGGGGGTGTCATTTGAGCTCCCCACCAAAATGTTGTGGGCCGGCCTTGTGTGCACCCAAGTAGGGACCACACATCTTGAGGAACCCCCGGTTCTGATAAGCCCCTTCTGCAACGAGCTCTGAAGTCAGGAGATGTTTGTTTGAAAGTCTGTTTTAGAAGCAAGGTTTCTGAACGGGCGTGTGAAGTGCTGCACCATGGTTCGAGGACAGCTGAAGGCAGTACATCTGCTGCAGTGCACTGTGGAGACTGCATTGGCCTGCAATGCGCTTAAGACAAAGCACTGCCTTTACCTTTGTGCCTCATGCTCTGCAGTGTGACATCAGTGGATGATGTTACATGTGAATGACTGGTTAAATATTGTGAGAGGTTACACACATTTGCAATGGACAGTTTTCAAAAGTCTCTATTGATCATAAGTGAACTAGGGATGTAAAATCCTATTTAATTGGCTAACGGCTTTAACACATTGTTTAACTGGTTAACTGATTAAAGAGGGATGAGCAGGTAGAAGTCGCTCCAGCTCAACCGACCCACCACTGGGCTCCCCCTCCTTCCTGAAGACAGGTATTGCTCCAACCCAGCCTCTGCCTCCACCTGTGGTGGGCCCCCTGCAAAGCTGGTGCAGCCCCTGCCCACGGCAGGTGGGGAGCTGCTCCAGCCCTACCAGTTAACCCATTTAAACCTTCATATCTCTATAGTGAACTCCAGATTACGGTTAAAGAGTCACTGTTTGATCCATGAGAGAGCCAGAAAGCATCTGAATAAGTCTTTTCCATTCTTTTAGTACTTCTTTTACATGGGCAAACATTTACATTGGTTATTTTAAATAGAAACCCTTGTAAGGTAGAATTACTTCATTGTTCAAAGAGCTCTATAGGGCAGGGCTACTCGGCCAATGGGCCGTTTGCGGTCTGCGGTGCGGTTTGGGTTTACGCAGGGCTTAACACACGGCCCACAAGTGGGAGCCAGAACAAAAAAGGAGTCAATATAATGGTCTTCTGTTGACATGCGTTTTAATAGTTAAATTCCTGGTTGTCATTGCTCATTAAAAGTGTTGTCAAATTGGTGGAAATCGGGTAAATACTGCATTTTATTAGTATCAGCAGAACTGCCTGTGTGTTGTGTAGTCTTGCCTTAAACTTTGAATTCATGCCCATCAGTGTGAAAGAAGCTATTTGCATATATATTTGCATGTATATGCAACCATACTTGCAGCTCTCAGCATGTGCTGAGAGTATCATTGTGCCCCCCCCATCCCCTCAGGGCTTTCAAAGTTGAGTTACCCTGCTATACTGTTTTCCTCATATGATTCCCTTTAATTTTTGGAAAATCAAGTGCCTCTCCCAAAGTTCATTTAAGTCAATGGGAGTTTCATTGCCTTTATTTGGAATTGGATCAAGTCCCACATAGCTAAAACCCCTTGCAATGGTTTCAAAACACAAGGGCTAAGGTTAAAGATCAGCCAACATAAAAAATGTAAAGTTTTGCGAAAGGAAGAGCTGTGCAAATCCCAGTGATCCTTTAATCACATATCTGAAACTTAAACAAGGGTCTTGAACTCATGAATCTGGGATGAGTTTTCAGTAACCCTGGGCTATGTACAGAGCCACGTTAGGGTTTTTGCTGATTTTACTTTGAGTTTTTCAATTCCTTGAAAATTGAATCCCAAGTGGCAATTGACAGTTGAACCACTGACAAAGCTAAGCACTGCAGAAAGGAGACCACCTTTTTGAAAGCCTTTTATCACATTACTTTTGTTCTGCATGCGCTCGTATTTTTAAATACTTCTAGGTCACCATCAAAATGGAGTGATAAAAATCCCGCAGTTTGTGTCACGTCCCCACATGCCAAGAAACCAAGGAGCCAGTCAGAAGAACCTGTATACAACCTGTATGATGCGCCCACCATTACCACAGCAACTCTCAGCAGGATCAGACAAGATTTCACACCAACCACAAAGTCTGGACTTCCTCAAGGTTCCCGACCAAGGGGCTGCTGGGTAAGCTTTTATGTGGAAACTCTTTCAAAGAGAGAAGGGGCTAATCTTTATAAATAGGTTCTTGGACTCAAATGATGCACCCTGGTGAAATGGTATTATGCGTGCACATGGCCAAAACATGGCATTAAGCTGTGCTCAAGAGTCCTATTGACTTCTGTAGGATTTCTACCTGCAGAGTGATGGTGAGCTTAGGACCATAATCCACTCACTGCAGTCAGTGTGAACCAGTTCCAGTATTCCAAATGCTAAGATCAGGTACTTACACAGTATCTACAACTTAAGACTCTTAGGCTACGACTACACTGGCGGCTTCTTGCGCAAGAACAGCTGTTCTTGTGCAAAAACTTGCCAGGTGTCTACACTGCACGCGCATTCTTGCACAAGTAAATTTACAGTCTAACGTCGGAAAACAGGGCTTCTTTCAGAAGAGTTATTCCTCTCCCCATGAGGAATAAGCCCTCTTGCACAAGAGCTCTTCCACAAGAGGCCAGTGTAGACAGGCAACATGAATTTCTTGTGCAAGAAACCCCTATGGCTAAAATGGCCATCAGAGCTTTCTTGCACAAGAGAGCATCCACACTGCCATAGACGCTCTTGCGCAAAAGCACATCTCTTCTGCAAAAGCCAGTGTAGATGTGTTCTTGTGGAAGACGTTTTGCGCAAGACCTCTTCTGCAAAACAGTTCTTGCGCAAGAAGCTGCCAATGTACACGTACATCCCCTCTGAGAGAGGTATTTTCATATCCATTTGATGGATGGGCAGAGTGAGAATACCTTACTTGGCTTCTGTCTCCCAACAACTATCAGAACCCAGGAATTCTTACTACCAGTCCCCTGTTCCAACCATGGGACAGTCCCCCCTCTCAAATACTGTCTTATCGTTATAAGAAGATGACAGTTATTCCAGATGAGATTGATGTTTTTTGGTTGGAGGGAGAATGGCAGGAAGTTGATTTTATTGGTGAAATTAGGGACCATATTAATTCCGCTCCAATTTGTCTCCTTTGTACTCAGGAAGTGCAATGTAAAGAGCTTGAATATTGGTCATATCTGGACAGCTGAAAGGAAGGGCAGGGGGCATGGCTTGGCAATTCCCAGGTGGCACACAGTCCCTTGGTCATCTTTGACAGCTGGGCTGTGTCTACACTGGCCACTTATTCCGGAAAATCAGCTGCTTTTCCGGAATAACTTGCCAGCTGTCTACACTGGCCCCTTGAATTTCCGGAAAAGCACTGACGATCTACTGTAAAATCATCAGTGCTTTTCCGGAAAAACTATGCTGCTCCCATTCGGGCAAAGGTCCTTTTCCGGAAAACTGTTCCGGAAAAGGGCCAGTGTAGACAGCACAGTAGTGTTTTCCGCAAAAAAGCCCCGATCGCGAAAATGACGATCGGGGCTTTTTTGCGGAAAAGTGCATCTAGATTGGCCACGGACGCTTTTCCGGAAAAAGTGCTTTTCCGGAAAAGCATCCTGCCAATGTAGACGCGCTTTTTCCGGAAATACTTATAACGGAAAACTGTTCCGTTTTAAGCATTTCCGGAAAAGGGTGCCAGTATAGACGTAGCCCTGGTGTAGATCATTAGAATATACTCAATTCCAACACCAGGATTAGAGCTGCAGAAGGAAGAGAATTAGGGAGATTATACCCAGCTCTGTGACATCTTGCCCCCATCTCCTGCATGAAGCAATTCTCAGTGCTGGATTGAAACTGTATTAGGCAATCATCTGTGGAGGGACACAGGTAGGTATATTAGATCATGATCATAGTCAAGTCGAATGTGTAATTAGGGTCATTTCAGTTACTTTGAGAAAGTAACATGTTACTGACTCAGAAATGGAAACTGGTGATGTACACATTCCTGATTACTTCAGGAAATTACTAGATTACTGGAGAGCTGTACATTGTGTGAATGATATAGTACCAAAATACCTTAGCTCACAGTTGACATGGAAATTACTCAGTTACCAAAGAGGAGTAACAGGAAGTGATGTCCAGGTTACATTTTTTGGAATCAACAATAAGAGAAATCTCAGAATTACTTAAAAAAACCCCACTTCCTATAATCTGTTACTATGACAACACTATGTGTGCTAAGGAAAAAATTCTCTGGCTTGACAGTGGCGTTGAGGTTGATCAGCTGAAATCAGTAATATAGATTTATTTTTGTTTTTAATTATGAATAAGCTATTCTAAACAATTGCAAAAGAGTATAGCACAGTCAACTTGTTGGCCCAGATTCATTGCCAGATGCCCTGTGCTGTCCGTGTATTTCCCAATGGACAGGTGTTCTCATCACCAAAATCATTGTTACCATCACCACCACACTTGTAAATAAGAAGTTCAGAGAGACCACAAGTTAAATTGACAATGAAGGCTGAACTAACCACTCACGCTTAGCTTTCCCCTCATTGGTCTTGTGTGGGAAAAGCTGTACAACTGCTGTCAATATTGTCACCGTTATGTGGATAAACAGAAGTCTTTAGTCTCTGGGATAACAATTTGGCACCTTTCCCAAGCCCTGAAATAACATTAAATATTTAAACACAATATACTTACAGTCTTTATTACAGTGACTAAACAATTTCTCCTCTGAGAACCTTCTACTCTGCTTTCATGCACATTTACTGGAGCTTTGCTTTAGTAGGAATTTTAATGCCAGCTGATTGTCAGATTCAAAGGTTCTTGCCTGTTTGACTATTGTAGAACATAATCTGATCTGGAATAATCACTTTGCATATTTCCATACACACAGTTCTCTATTCCTTATAATGAGATAATTATGAAGTGACCAAGATCCAAATGTTGATTCAAATCGACAGATTCAAATACCAAGAGTAGATTCAAATACCAAGCAGTCATAACTCGTGCACATAAAACACAAATCTGATGTCAATAAGTATTAATAATTGTGCTTGGTGACGGTTTATACAAGTTCCCGTCTGTCAGCTGCAGCCTATCAAAATAAGCATGTATTGACTATTCATCAATAGCTCACTGCTGACTGACCGGGGGGGGGGGGGGGGCCATATTGTTAATCTGTGTTGTTACTTCAGTGTTTAAAATGGAATTGTCCAGGATGCAGACTGTTATTCTAAAGCCTCCATGCTGATTTTGGTCCTTTGTGAGATGTGGTGTTCCCTTAGGAATAGATGAGATAAAGCAGGGATGCAAACTTTGTTCAGGAGAGGGGACATGCTAAAGTTTTCAGGAATCCAAATTGTACAAAATGGAGTACTTTACAGGCGTTCTATTCTTTAATAAATAGAAATGTGATTCAAACAGTACAATATTGGAGATGATCACAGATCATGAGCATCACATTACGAGGCATAGTTTCATTGGTTCCAACTTTCATATTAAAAATGGGGGTCAGCCCTAGGATGTATCTGTACATCACACACTGGTGATTTTTACACCTGTAACAAGCACTCTTGCATATGTCTTCTGAGAATTACAGCACTTGCAAGCAATCTACAATGCTCCATGCTGTACTCTGAGTGCTTGCTCAGGTTTCCATTGGAGGCTACTGTAAAACAACACAGCATGTTTAGGATGATAATAGCCAGAATCTTCTAGCCCACCATTTTACAGAAATCCCAACATGATCACTTCCTACCAGCAAATAGGAGAGGTTGCATACCTTGGGTCTTCTGGAGGAAAAATTCAGAGGGCACAGAACAGCAGTTGTTTTGGAATAGAGCTGTCTGTCACTTCAGTGACTGTCACTTTGGTTAGGGAACAATGAGTCAAGTCTGTTAGTATATTTTAATATAATTAGAGCTCAGGTTTTCTCATTGAAAGCAGTTTTTCAAACATTTTACATAGCTGTAAATCACCAACTGACTCTGCAGTACCTTGGAATGATGGGTGCTGTGTTAGTTTAAGTTTGTGTTACTATAGGAGGAGTAGATGGGGTGAATTCCACTTTAACAGGGACCACTATAATCCAAATTCATTCCCTTTCACACCACCACCACCAGACTCCTTCTTCCCAGACTCTTGTCCTCCATACAGTCTCTCTTCCCCTAACCCCTTGCAATAGATTCTTGGTCATTTAGCCCAGCATATCTCAGCAAGTGGCCAGCTGGAAGCAATAAGCCATGTGCTGCATAGTTGTTCTGACTGATTCATTGCAGGGTTTGAGCTCCCAATGACCCTAGCAGCTGAGTCCCAACCATTCTCTGAAGGTAGAACAGGAGGTTAAAGTTAAAACAAAGATGCTGTCATACTGGGAATTTTGCTACAGAAGAGTATGAATTTCTCAAACTAAGGGTATGTCTACATTACCCTGCTAGTTCGAACTAGCGGGGTAATGTAGGCATACCGCACTTGCAAATGAAGCCCGGGATTTGAATTTCCCGGGCTTCATTTGCAAAAGCGGGGAGCTGCCATTTTTTAAACCCCGCTGGTTCGAACCCCGTGCAGCGCAGCTCGAACTAGGTAGTTCGGACTAGGCTGGAACAAGGTGTACCGGTAGTTCGGAATAGGAAACCTAGTCCGAACCACCTAGTTCGAGCCCCGTGTAGCCGCGCTGCACGGGGTTCGAAGCAGCGGGGATTTAAAAATGGCGGGTCGGTATGTCTACACTACCCTCCTAGTTCGAACTAGGAGGGTAGTGTAGACATACCCTAAGAGACTCAGAAGGGCCTGCTTTAGTAGCAGTCTTCCTACCCTATCTCATCCCAGTTGTTCTGGTGTAATCATACTGCTTTATTCAAGGTCACTTCCACTTTTTCCATTGCTACTTTCTATTTATAGACAATTAAAACTAGGTCATAACAATTTTGCCCTGGCTTGTAAATTGTTATGCAAGGTCTCAGCCTGATGAGGAATCATTCTGTCAAATGTATAGTTTGTACTAGGGATGGAGTGAGTCGGGGTGGGCAATAATTTTTGACGGGGGACCACTCCAAGAATTTGGTAAGTGGTCAAGGGCTGCACTCTTCCATTATATTAATGGAGGAGGTGTGGGGGTCTGGGATGGAGTTTGGTTGCAGAAG